AATTTTTATGGATATATTTCTTGTGTTAGATACAATATGGGAAAATATCAATAATAAATTCCTAAATAAATTTTTATTCTATTAACAAATATTGTCAATTCATGATATCACAGCATATATGTAATAAAAATATTCCAAATATTCATAATGATCTTTTTATTCTAGTATCCACATAGCAGTGACTCACGCCCACACTAGACCCGGTGTCGCTGACAGGTTCTTGGCTGATTTGAAGGAAGCTACAGCTGCTTGTGTGAAAGAAGGAAGTGTTCCAGTAGAGGGAAAGGTAAGTATACAAATAACTCCTTAGTAAATATGAAAAATAATTTAGTATGGATGTATGGATTTTTTGTTTCTATTATGCGAAAAAACTTAATGTATTTTGATGAAAATTTATGGTAATATAGTTTAGGCTATATCCCATGTACATATTATGTCCTGAAGTTTGATGTATTTGACGTGGAATTAAAACACAACAGTTGGATTTTGTATGAAGTCAAGTGACTGTTGGCAGCTTTTTGTCTATCTATTACACACAGTCAACAAGGACGAAGTCGTTGACAAATATTAGTAATGTTATATAAACTTTGTTACAAATGTGGGGCAATTTGACCAATAATTGTCTGTTTTTTATATTAAATAATCAAGTGAAAAGCTTTGAAACTTAATAAGATGAAGTAGGTAATCTACATTACATATTTCATTTGTCTCATCATGTATATTTTTTCCACAGATGGCTATATACGGTGTTGCGCAGAGTATACCAGATAGAAGTCTAGTTTCAGACATAACTAAATACTTCATTGATTCCATGTACTATTTACCCAAGCCCGGTGATAATGAATAATTATATTGGTCATCAATTAGCCAATCAGTTGTAATCGCTTTAATATTAGTGATGTTACTTTATATGTATCACAATTTGTATATATTTTTTTGTATAGGAATGTCTTTACATATTTTTTTGGTCTTAAAGATCATATGTATTCCAAGTGTTTTTACAATCTTGTATAGGAATTTTTTTATTGTAATAGTGTAGTGCTTCCAGTTTGTTTATTATATAATAAATATTTAAATTGATTTTTGTTTTATTACTTAATTTGTATATGATATAAATATATGGTTAGAAATTTAAGAACTTCTTTGTGATGATAAAATTAAAGTCCTATTTACTATTATCTATCTATCTATTAAAATTGTTTGTCTGTTTGTTTAGTTGTTAAAATTAAGAGTTTCGGCTACTTTTTATAAAAAAAACTATTTGAATTTCAACAAAAATTATAATATATAATAACGGCCCGAAATCATGGGTAGTTAATTTATTGACAACTTAAGAATTCTTTTATTCTTTAATTTTTATAGTCTAAGATCCGGCTGCAGAATCAGTGTACCCATCGAGTGTTTGCTGAAAACCAAATTTTTACACATATTCATGATTAGGAGAATTTATATCCACCAGGTTGCCTATCAAAAAGTGGCCGCTAGTATTTTTAATTAAATTATTAATAATTCATAATCCGTAAGAAATTTCATTGACTTTTTTTTTCAATGAAATGTCGTCTACTTTACGGCAACATCTATAAAGACTCTGAAAAATTATGGTTGCCGTTGCGCACCTGGCCGCACCTCTTCGCAGCCAGGTATACACAGGTATGAATTTGTTACATTTATACACCCACAACGTACATTTATAATTTATATATCAAATTAAAGCAAATTTTTTTCTGTATATTATTATATACGGTTGCTTAATTAAATCTGGCCGCCAATAAGGGTTGCTGGCTAATAAATATAGTAAATATTAAAAGTAGACTGAAAGAGAGCTAGCGCGTAACACCACTAGTCAGACGAGGATAGCGATTGCCAGCTGTCGGACGGTTTAAAGCCATTGCGCATGCGTCAGATGTTAGTGTTCTCAACGGATCAGTTGTGATTTTTATTTTAAGTTCGAAACCACGCTGTTTGGAGTACGTAATACACAACATAATATATTGCTGTTTTATTTGTGCATCGAAAAATTATCAATCTCATTTAAGTGAAATAAAATTTATAAGGATGAAGGCGTGTTTCCTGTGTAACAAAAAATGCAATGTACTAGACTTTGATAATGCTTCATTCAAAAAGTGTTCTCTAATGTTATTGTTTCTAATGGCTTTAAACCGTCCGACAGCTGGCAATCGCTATCCTCGTCTGACTAGTGGTGTTACGCGCTAGCTCTCTTTCACTCTACTTTTAATATTTATTAGCCAGCAACCCTTATTGGCGGCCAGATTTAATTAAGCAACCGTATATAATAATATACAGAAAAAAATTTGCTTTAATTTGATATATAAATTATAAATGTACGTTGTGGGTGTATAAATGTAACAAATTCATACCTGGCTGCGAAGAGGTGCGGCCAGGTGCGCAACGGCAACCATAATTTTTCAGAGTCTTTATAGATGTTGCCGTAAAGTAGACGACATTTCATTGAAAAAAAAAGTCAATGAAATTTCTTACGGATTATGAATTATTAATAATTTAATTAAAAATACTAGCGGCCACTTTTTGATAGGCAACCTGGTGGATATAAATTCTCCTAATCATGAATATGTGTAAAAATTTGGTTTTCAGCAAACACTCGATGGGTACACTGATTCTGCAGCCGGATCTCGTACTATTACTTAGAGGATAGAAAAGAATGGTTAAAATTTAACATATACATATGTATATGAAGTCAAATTCTATTTGGTTCGCTGTTTAAAATGTGGCCTTTATCTGTACAAAGACATGCACAGTATATTCTGCCAGTGTCGTATAGAATCGAGAAGACTCCTATTTAGTCTGTAATTTTCTTCTTACGTCAAAATCAAGCGTGTCAAAATTAATTGGTAAAATGAGATGGATTCTATTTATATTGATTGTTCCATTAATAATACAGACTGCACGTTGTACAGTAAACTACTGCGGCTCCAAGATGTGTTCACATACGAATGAGCATACATTTTGTCGATATTCAGTTAGTATTATAATATAATTTTTGTATCTGTTCAAATCTCATCATTTATATTATTTTATGTAACAGCAATTTGTTTTAATAAGAAAGAAAGCTCTGTATTGAATGTAGTCTGTATTTCTTGTTATTGGGATTCTAAAATACTTTTCTTGTACATATAAAAATAATCACAAAAGTCGTCATATTATCTTAGATATCATTTTATTGTTAAAAAATTTATTATGCTTTGTGGATGGACGTCAGATTTTTCAAACAATCGGTTAATTTAATAAACCTATTCAATGGAAAAAATATTTTAATCTGATCATAATACGTGACTTAGTGCAAGATCTGTTAGGGATATAAATAAATTTTGTTCAGTATTATCGTTGAGACATACCATCAAATAATTCTGTTTTCTTTTTATTAATCAGTGTCTTTTAAGTGGAAAATATGTGGCTTTTAGTATGGACCTTTTAGTAGTAAATATAAATGATTTGTAGGCTGGGCCAGGTTCAAATTGTAAAGGTTATATGCAAGCTCGTCTATCATCGGAGGAAAAAACACGTATTATAGAGCGCTTAAACCGACGACGCAGTGAGACGGCGGTCGGACTGAGCAAGTTACCTCCAGCCGGGGATATGTTGAAACTGGTTATTTGATTATACAATGGTTTTATTAATTATATAACAGATTTTGTTAAGCGCTAGAATAAAAGAAAAAATTTCAATTCTTTTTCCTGATTTGAGATGATTTTTGAGTAAAAAGAAGTAGTAATAGGTTTAATAACTTAAATTTCAGTAGCAGTAGTACAATAATTTTATTAAAATATCTTGTTTACGTTATAAAATAAGGTAGATAAATTATGAATTATTTTCTATATAAAGCGTTGGGTTGAAGAGTTGGCTCGGGAAGCTGAAAGATGGGCGAACCAATGCCGACCTCCAAACACACCAGAAGAACAAGACTTGTGTCGAGATTTGTGTACGTTACATTATAATATTCATCTATACATCAAATTTCCAAATCAGTAACTTTTAACAATGACCCTTAAAGTGTTTGAACTGCGACATATGTAACATACTGCTTATTTTTTTTAATTCGAACAAAGATTATTTAACGATTTAGATTCTATAACTGTTGGTCAATGCGTCGCTTCCGTTGTGGGCGAAGCGCCAGGCTTACGCCCTGAGACAATGGTTGATATGTGGTTTATGCAGAACAAATACTATAGAGGAAATGTCACTTCATATGTACCGTAAGTATCAGTGCATACAAATTAATTGATGAATTTAAAAATAATTTGAATCTACCTTCAGGTCGGAAGATGGCGCTAATTTCTATGACGATTTCGCCCAAATGATTTGGTCTCGAACTTATATGGTAGGCTGTGGACGGAGCCGATTTATGGTGATTAATAAAATTAATAATATACATGATTATGATGTCATGAGTAGAAATAAATGATAAAAATACTATAGACGGATTGGCGGGGACGTCTTCGCACTGTAGAGCGCTTGGTATGCAACTTTGCTCCTCGGGGCCCTGCAGTCTATAGACCGTTGTGGAGCCCTTCAGACCCGGCCACCGCGTGCCCTCCTCGCGCTAGACCTGACCCAGCTTTACCAGCGCTGTGTATTTATCGTAAGTCCTTTTTACGATAAATAATTGTAACATTTGTGTCAGTCACTATTTGTAACTAGGTACCCACCCACGTTAAATATCCGCTGTGTTATAAAATTGTGTCAATGTCTTATGGGTGTAAGAGAGTCGTTTCTATTTGTCCGAGAAGTATATATATCTCGCATCTTTATATTTTGCAGAGATTGAGAAAATCTGGAGTATTTACATGAAATTATTTAGATAAGATTTCCTTAAATCTATTTATTTATCTATTTTACAAGACTTTCCACATTTTCCTTTCGATTCGTATCCCTATAACATATACGTATATGTTACACAATTCTAAAATAAACAAAACCAATATATAAAATAAACACAGATAAACATGAATTATGTACTTTAATGATTTACAAAAGTAAGTCTAGTTCTGTGAATTAAGTGACAGAATTTGATTGGTTTTACGAATGCACGAGTAATTATAGAAACCTTTCATTCAAACTGCACATTTAAAATGGTTTATTTTATAACTACCACAGAAAAAGATACGGAAGAATTTATGGATGAATATAGTGTACTTTCACTCGAAGATAATTTGTTATTGGACTCATTGATTGATATTGAGAGAAATAAATCGCTGGATTATATCGGAAGCTTGGATGAAATTTATTTGACGAAACTAGCGATAATGACGATGACACATAATGATTCTCTAGTTCCGTCTCTTCATTCAGTAGAAAAAAGAGATAATAATATATTAGAATATAACAATAGTTCTATCCCAAGTAAGGGATTGGATAACAATACACCAAGTGTAAGAATTGTTAAGAAAAAAGTATATTTCGTTGGCCGTCCAAAGACTTACAAGGTGGAAGATTTAAATGATGTAATAAATGAGAGTAAGTAAATGGAAGAATATATAATAACTCTGAACGCACCTTAATAAAATAACCTATCGTATGTTACAGATAGAATAGAAGTAACTACATCAAGAGATAAAGAAATATATGACTACTATGAGTATAAAGATTTTGATGATTTGATAGAGACAACTCAGAGTACGATGACAATATATGAAAATACGGTTAAAGGTGCGTGCTACGATTGAAATATAAAATCAATTGAATTATTAATATAAAAAACATGTTTGCAGAAATGAAAATATATGAGAAAGAAGTTCTCAATACTACTTATATTACTGTATCTATTGGTCCAATAACGAGTACATTGGAATCAATAAACAATAGTGAAAATATAAATGTTATTAATCAAAATAAAACTGAACTCGGGTCTGTGGAACCAGTGATCGAAGATAATTCAATAGATGATTATCTCACGGATGGTAAGTGAAAAGGATTTACGAAGGTTTGAAGAGGAAGAGCACAAAAAAAAGAATTATCTTGGATGATCCAATAATTAATAATATGTACAATATAAAATACTTAATAAAATTAATTTGTTGTAATATTAAATACTACTTTACATTATATACTTATCAAATTCAATATTCAATTTGTACTGATATTTTTAATTATATTTCCCAGCTGAAACAGCTCGTCAACTGCAAGAAGCCTTGGAGCGTATGGAACGTAATTTAGCTACGAGTACATCTTCATCTACACGTGGAAAGGTAAAAGAAAATGATATATATACATATATATATATCAAGATTTTCATTGAAAAGACAATGTGATTAAACATATATTTTCGGATCGTTTCATTAAATTTTTTTTAAGTTGCTCCTCCAATGCTACGTGTTATACGCAATTAACAATATTTGTGAGTAACACAAAAAGTCTTTGAGACCTATTGTAATAATTAATTTCTTTTCTTGTTCAAACCAAAACAGGTTCGCAGAGAATTACGCGATTCAAACGAAAGAGATGAGGAATATAAAGTGGAAACAGAATCTCCTGCAGAAATTGAGAAGAATAAGACCATAGATAGAGGTCCGATGATCAGCATGGTGTTAAAATATATGCCGTACTTAAAAACTTATGAAAAGACAATTCTAGGAGAACCCACTACCAGCCGAGGCTCTGTATTATCTCCCTGTATAACATTACATTTTGTTACGCATCTATTGTTTTATTAGACTTTATTTTACAGTATCAGATATCCGTACATATTTTTTTGTTGTATTTATATTAATAAATATATTATTCACATAATTAAAGTTGTTTCCTAATAAATCTGTATTTATATGTTTTATTCCATGGTTTTGTTAATAAAGTTTTTTTATATAGATTTGTGTATAATTATTTTTCCTATATGAATGGTTTCCTGGGGCCAATGTTATAATGTAATACATAGTGGAGGGTAAGAGCCACAGTCAGTGTATTGGCTATTTAACAATTAGGCCAGTACTGGTGCTCGTGAGGTTATTGTCCGTCAGTCGGAGTCGCGTGGTGTCGCAGGCAACTCGTAGAACATGTAACTACATTCACAGAAGTTGCTATAGGGTTAAAAAATAACAAACGTTCTAATATCGTTAGATTGAAATTCGATATTATTTTCGTTTACGGATTTATTTATTTATATATATTTAAAGCTTTAAGTAATTCAGAATTATTGAAATACAAAAAAAATTTGGAGATAATTTTGATTTATGCAATTCATCCTAAACTCGTGACCGTTATCTTAAAGGAACATTTATGGATGATATTATTATATGAAATTGATGTTTAAATAACAAAATGTCACAAGATATGAAGTCAGCTTCTATGGATCTTAATTCATCTCGTTCCTGGTGTCGGAGGGAGAACGACGTTAAGATAGAGCTCGGCTTCAACGTGCCTCTGGGTGCGATGTCCGCACACCCTGTATTTCATTCCGCTTGGGATATCGGATGGTAAGAAATTATTAACAAATATGTATAAGTCTCAACATTCACTAACAAATATCATTTTCTGTTCTGCCTTTGATTCTGATAGCCTCTGAATTTCGATATATTTACAAGAATTGTATTCGAGTATGCTCTAACGTTATTTATATGCTACGGCTTGATTTTTTATATGCTACGGAATCTTATAATATTTTACCAGTGTCAAGGTTTAATAGTTGGATGAATTATAATCTTCAGTATTTCGTGGAGGAACTACGAAGGGGTTTGTCTAGGGGAATGAAGGGCTTTATTTAATTAATTAATTATTATTGTTGAAGCTCTAATATTAGCTACAAATAAATTGTAACACAAAATATTTTGCAAGAAGTTTCAGGAGTTTGAGTAGTTTCAGTAGACTTTGAGAAGTTTCCTTTAGTTTAAGTATTTTAATTTTATAAACAGTTTTTGGCTCTTTTTATTTTTAATATCTTTATTTCAAATTTTAATAAAATTTAGTAATAAATATTGTCAGGATTATTTAAATGCAATATTTCTATTTTTTTTGCAATAATTGTAAAGGGTTTCGAGAAGTTTATATGAATTTACAATGAACATATACTGGTAAAGTTGCGGAGCAATTAGCCTTTTAGCTACACGCGATATTTTGTCGTCTAGTTTCGGCTTTAATTTTTACTTGTAAAATTGACAACATCGATGTAATGTATTAAAAAAAATAATGTTAGTGATGAAAAATATATGTTCAGATGTGTGTAAAATAATGTATTACATTCTATTTTTTAGGTTTATTTACTTGCTATTAATTTGTGTATGTTAAGATTTTAATTGTTCTCTTTAGTATTTACAATCGTTACTATAGAATTCGATACAGAAGTAAGATAAATTCCTACATACTACTTGACCTCGTATACTTATCTTTTGAAACCTTAAGTTTAAATTCACTTGGGGTTAAAAAAAATACATTCATGAAGCTTTTCTCCAGTTTTCTTAATGTATTAATTAGGACTACTAATATACTAGTCGAAATATATTTTCTAAATACTGATACAAAATCTAATCATTAATAAAGAAAACAAATGAAAGTTAACTTCCCTCATTTTATATTATTATTTTTGTATATAACATAATACGTAATTGTATATAAATTAGCACATAAAAGTTATCCTACCTAATATCGCACTCCACAGTTTTACTAAACAAATGCCATGTATTGGCTCTAGTTGTTTTTCTTCTTCCATTGTAATTCTCAATCGTAACACATTAAAACATAATTATACTTGGACGTAACTTTTAAAAAGCTTCGTATATAACACTGTACTGAAATAGCAGACTTGAAACAGCTGAAGCACCAGTACCTCTTTACAAAAATCTGAATCTCTAGCTATTGCATTTAATACAATTTCGTTGATCAAGGATAATCATTTCGAACCTAAATTTAGAAGCTTTGTACGTTTGACACAACAAATGTTTTCTATGGACTTAGAAGAAGAGACGAATAACCTCATACAACCTTTATACAAAACTTTCTTTTATTAAGAAGTCTAGATATTCTAATAAAAATCCTTTCAAATTGCTAAGACACAAAAAAAACCTCCAGTATTGACCCTGTCTTTGAAGCATATTATCGTTTTCTGTTTCGAAGTATTATCGTTTTCTGTTTCGAAGTTCTGCTCTGACACAAAGATGGTTTATCAAAGTATGTATTATATTCCATGATTCATATTAATTGACTTATATTTTTATTAAAATTTTTGTAACGACCATACTAACCCATTTTTATACACGGATCATATTAATATTTTTTTTGACAGAAATTTCAACACATTTGGAGAATTAATGTTTTTAGTTTAATTCATCGATGTTTGTGATTGTATCATTAAGAAAATAGAACGAACACCATTCAACTTTGGAGTCCTTAATCCATTTTAGAGTCATACTCGAAAAAACTACCTCGTTTTACTTTACCCGAACACTGTGATTAATACTTTATACCTGAAAACTTCTTATTACTATGGTATCATAGATTATTGTTTACGACCCTCGCTCATTGTTTTGATGTACCAAATTATTTTATTTAATTCCATAGTCTGGGGACAAGTTATATTATCAAAGATTAAATTCTCACAAATAATCAACAAGGCTTCGGATGGAATTTGTCTTTTTATATCTTCCATTAACTGTACAATGTGTAATAGGTATGATTCCGAATAATTGTACGACATTAAAGTACACGTTGTTGGACCGTTCCGTGGTAGTTGTCCAATTATCTGAATGGATCATATCTTTCGACAATGCACAATGAGGTAATTTTCAAGCATTTATAAGAACTATGTTTGATTTTTAATATAATTTGTGGTAATGTATTTTGAACAAAAATCAAAAAGCATTATTCAAAAAAAAAATTAAAGCAAAAAAGTTTAAAGACATTCTTGTGGTCATACACTTTTCATCAGGTCAACGAACTGTTAGGGAGGCATACCCCAAGTAATTAAAAAATTGTTTTCGTTTTTTGTTTATTCTTCTATTAAATTGTGAATGGGCAGTTCGAATAAGATGTAAATGAATCTGTAATTGGCTTTACCAATCCAATTATATTATTTATTCAGTTGAAATAGAATCACTTGTACTCAACTTGTGTCAACTTACATTTATATCTGTTGTTGTATTGTCTTACAATCTTTAGACATTACCTATATTATTAAAATATACGAAAAGACTTAACTCTTACTGATTTCGTACACAATACATTTCACTCTGCATTGTGTTAGGATTTCAATTAACTAATAACTAGTCTAGACAGTTCAATGCTCATTACACCCAAACATAAACGTATTAATTCATTGAACTAACCGCGTATTTTTTACTGTCAAGGGAATTTTTTATCGCATACAACGAATCCAATACAAATATATAAACAGAGTCGTTAACATTACATATACTTTTAAGAATTATGAATATTTTATTTTACATTTTATTTTAGAGTAATGTTTTCATGTGATGGATTTTACCGTTTTATAACTGCGGAGACTTGTTAAATCAATGTATATTGTAAGTAATAATGAAAAATATACTTATAGTCATACTATATATGTTGGATATGTGATGTACAAAATTTTTCTAAAGGCAAACAGTAAATGATTAAAGGCTAGACTGATACAGTACAGCTATTACTGATCTTAAACTTACATGTATTTAAGAATGTATTTAGTTTGGTTTCCCAATGTAAATCTTTCGTTGAAGAGCTTAGAACCTTAGAAGTTTCTGATTCAATTTGTCCCGTCGTGATTTTTTAGCTCTATATAATATAATCAGCAGAAAATGTTTACTCGTTTGCTGCTCCTTTACTTACTAAAAAGTGGCTTCAATCTCTTAAATATTAAGAGTTTAATGTATCGTATATTAAATTAGTCGTACAAAATAAATGCTGGTAAAAAAGAGAAAGTTCAATAGTTTTAAATGGAATAAGTGATCTGCAAACAACTGATCCTGAAATGTCCTTCTGAACAGTGGGCCGCTAAATATCTCAATTTAAGATGATTGACCTTAAAGAGGCGACGAGAGTAAAATAAATTTTAATGCCAATGTCGTTTTAACAACTTCATAAAAGTTTGCTCGTGTCGGTTATTCCATTGAGCTAAATTGTCGCGTGGGTTTTTGATATGATGCCTTGAATATCAATTACCATTATCTAATAAGAATCGTTGTTAAGTATTTTATTATATAATTTAGTTCCCTGCACGATCAACTCTTCCTTTGTTCTATTTACTAATATCAGTTTGATTGATAGATAGATGTTTTAGTCAAAGCAGGAAATATATTAAAGCTACATTAAAACAGAAACAAATTGATACAACTGTCTCTAAATATCAAATACCATATATACAGAAATTAGGCCTAACGTTTACAATATAAATAAAGCCACAAGTCAATCACCCATTCAGGTAATTCAAAATACAATTGTTAGTAATGTCAGTCACCTGATAAATTTGATTAATTTTAATGACTATGGGCAGTTTTGATAGACAATGACCAGACATCCTGAAGTCTTTCACTTCATCGATTGTGTTTTAAGTTCAACGACCTCGTAGCCAACGGCCTTTGACACACATCCTTAACCTGCAAGTCTTACCCTAGTTCCGTGAATGGACAAACAAAAAGTTGAACAACCTTTACTTACAGCAATTAGTTTGTAACTCCATCAACAGGCATTTTTTTAAATATTTTATTACAAATTGGTTGTCAATATATAAAGACATATACCGGTTTTTAGTTACCGTAGTACTTTAACAAATAATAAATTCAAATAATCAGAAAATGTAATATTATAAGTAACATTTCTAATAACCTGTGAAATATCTGGGTCAGTGAGAAAAAAGATTAAAATCAGCTTCATAATGTAAGGTCACAGTGGCCTTTCACTTGAAGGAATATTTTAGGTATATGACAGTTCCATTTTGAATGAAATATGCTCTGTAAAGAGTCTGTACACAGTTGAGTTTCCTTTGACGAGAAAACCTTATTTAGGCTACGCACAATATGGCCGGCAAGTGTTTCCGGCCGTTGTCTTGGAAACGAAATCAAAACAGTTGCCAAATTACACCACTTTTATACCCCAACAACAGCTGATAATTAATTACAAAAAGATTATGAATTCCTAACAAAATTACCTTTTTGTGATAACATATGTACTTTTTATAAGTACACATGTACATTTCAATTGCTGTCAGACTATTAAAACGAAAAATGGATTTTGGTTTTGGGGATGCTTTGATCCCCAATGTCAGGGGATTGAGGCAATTTTTCGAACGTGATCCTTTTTTTGGGTATGTAAATTTTGAAAAGATTCTGTTAATATTTGAATGTTTTGATATAGAATCTGATTAGTAATTAAATAGGTTGTTAAAAAAGTGTTGTTAATTTAATACTTTTAAATAAAATATAATTTCTATTAGGTTATATTTATATGAGTAGGGTATAATAAAGAAATAATATTACTATGAACAGTTAAACTAATTTTGATATATTATGATTTGTTAACCAGTCCTAGTTCTGGATTTCACCAAATGGCCAGAATGATGGATCGTATGATGTCTGAAAGCCTTCAACCGTTTGGATTCGCAAGATTCACAACACACCGGAGTGGAGATGACAACGATAATTCTATACCTAGAGACGGATTACGGACTGAAAAGAGTGATAATCGCAGAGAACGGGCAAGGAACCCTCAAACTCACGCTGGTAATGGTACTAGACACCCGCCGACTCAAGGTAACATACCTTTGAAGACTTATTAATTATAACAGACGAAAGTTTACTCAATATGTAATGGTACTTATCGCGTAAACATCAAATATATTATTGTTTTAGTAGTAAAACCAACACCGATCAACTCGTTTCAAGACAATTCATCTGATCAGTCGAAACCAACAGACCCGACTACAGAGAAATGGGCTGGAACATTAAGAAGACGCGACCCTGACATACAGCCAACTTTACCATCAATCATTCGTAAAGCCTCTTCCACACATTCGTCTATCAGTAGTGGAAGAAAAACCAGATCTGTAGATAGAGTACCAAGAACAAGAAGGCAGTTAGTGCCGATTAAACCAACCGTAAGACAGCGAGATGTGCCTGCTGAAGGAGACGTTACTATGTTAGAGAAAGATGAAAAACTTTTTAACGCAACAGGTTATGAAGTGCATCTAGTTGAAACGTTGGAAAGAGATATTTTACAAAGGAATCCAGATGTTCGCTGGAAGGACGTGATCGGTTTAGACGATGCGAAGTCTGTGCTACAAGAAGCAATGGTACTGCCGCTAGTAATGCCTGACTATTTTAAAGTAAGTCGTCATAATAAAATTATTACGGTACTTTCAGGCGGCATAAATAATATAATATAGATTTTTTGTTGAACCCATTTTTTTTTATTACTTCATTATTTACATATCATTTATAAGAAGTAGTAATTACAATTTGGTAACAAAAAGTTAATCCAGTCTGGTCTAGATTTATTATTCGCGTGAGAGATAACGGCCAGGCAAGAATATATTTACACCATAATTAAGTCATAATACCATTACAAGGCAAAAGTACGGTCAGCTAAGTTAAGGGAAGGCCGTCTTAAATACAAGTAGTACGAAAGAAATAGTATTTGAGAGACTGGCCCTAATGCAGAAGTTTAGCATATAAAGAGATATTTCTCATATTAGTAATTTTTAGTCCCTTGCGTTCTTTATTATAAAAATTATCGTTTTATGCATGTTTTTTCTATTAACTCCAATTTGATTGTGGTTGGTAATAAAAAATATACGTAAAATATGTGAGTTTATTTATATTTCAGGGTATTCGACGTCCATGGAAAGGAGTTCTCTTGACTGGGCCTCCCGGAACTGGTAAGACACTGCTAGCAAGAGCGGTGGCAACTGAGTGCAGGACCACATTCTTTAATGTCTCCTCCGCAACTCTTACTTCCAAATATCGCGGTGATTCAGAAAAACTTGTCAGGCTTCTCTTTGATATGGTAAGATAAATTTCTCCGAAATATTGTACACTGTAAAATAATATCAATATTCAAAAAGAAAAAAAAATCTTTTTTCAAAGATTTTAATTTTTTCATGTACATTTATTCTAGCTTTAGTTTGTATCGTTACAAAACTTTCTTTAATGAAATAGATTAATACATATAAAATTTGTTTTAGGCCGCGTTCTACGCTCCTAGTACAATATTCCTAGATGAAGTTGATTCTCTTTGCGCCGTTCGTGGAGCTGATTCAGAGCATGAGGCGTCCCGACGTTTTAAAGCTGAACTACTTATACAAATGGATGGTTTAGCAGCCGCTTTGTAAGTTATACTAACGATTACGCAAGTAACTTTTTGTCGATTTGTACAATAATACTGCTTCTTTTTCAGCAATCAAGATAAAGTCATAATGGTGTTGGCTGCCACCAATCATCCATGGGACATCGATGAGGCGTTCCGAAGAAGATTTGAGAAGAGAATATATGTTGGTCTGCCAGATGGTATATCATTTGTTTTCAAATTCCTTACCTGTTTATTGTTTCATGAGATCATGATATTTGTGTTTCACAAATACATTATCCAACAATTTGTTACTTTTTGTAGTTAATTCCGTAAAAGGTATATTTTAACTACAAATAATAACCTTATTTGAATCGAAATTATTTTCTGTATTTGTTTTTTGTTTTATATTCATTTCCTTCTTGTTTTGTTAAAAATAAAAATGAATTCTAGAGCCAACGAGGGTCAAATTACTAAACCTCTGTCTCCGTGAAGTCGTGTTAGGAGATGATGTTGACTTAAAAGATCTGTCGACGAAGCTGGAAGGATATAGTGGATCTGATATTAATAATCTATGCAGGTGATACATTTTACATCAATAAGTAGTTATTTTCAACTGCCACTATTTATTTAATTCTCTCGCTTATGTAATTTGCAGGGATGCAGCAATGATGACAATGCGTCATAAAGTAGCAGGGAAAAGTCCGGAACAAATTCGTCGCTTGAAACGTTCTGAACTCGAAGCACCTGTCACCAAAGCCGATCTCATAGCAGCCATGGACAAAACGCGACGCACAGTCACACAAGCTGATGTAGCGCGTTACAGCAACTGGATACAAAAACATGGCTGTTCCTAGCATAGGGCTAAAGCGCTTAAAGCGCTTCTGAGATGCCTTAGATCATAGGCGTCCCATTTTTGGATTAGACGAAGTTTTGCCGGACAGACTTTTTCAATAAATATAGTGATCTGATGAAGTAATAATAGCTATAAAAAATTATGTGTCTTTAATATATTTTCGAAAGTATAGTGCTTACGAGATTAATAAAAGTGTTAAATTAAGTTTTTTTATTTATATATGAAAAATACATATCGAATATTAGCACAGAGCGTCTCGTTACATTTATTTTATTATCCATAGTTATAGACAAGTGTGGTTTTTTATGTTCAGTATATTAATTATAACATTATTTTTAAATATTCATAATCGACTGCCAGATTTCATTCATATAAACTAATATAAGTAACGGTTATAAAAATGGTAAGGTACAGTTGAAAGTCAAACAACGGTCTGCAACTTTTAAAATATGATACACTAATATGGATATTAATTCAGCTATCATCTTTTCAATGTTATAAAGAAAATAAGACTTGTAGAAAATAAATTAGATTTAAAATGTTAGTGTCACTATTAATAACGTTAAATATTTTTAAACTATTTTAAATGTCACAGTTCTATATATAAAAATGATTGCAATTAACAAAAAAACATGTTAAATATATAAATAAAATACGTTCAAAAGTATCTTAGAAGCTAAATTAAAATATATTTGTGACTTTTGTACTTGAAGTATTGAATGATAGTGTTTTGCTACACTTTATAATTAATCTACAACCAAAACGGTTGAGGTTCTATGTGCTCTAATTTAAATAAAATCACGTGGTGTTGCTGTTTTATAGCATATGGATTTATATAAAATGAAAACAACATAGAATAATAAAAGTTTATTAAGGAATGGTTAAGCATGTCTCACGATTGTACATTCAATGTATGTAAAAATGTATGATTCAATAAATTATTTGCTAATTTGCTACCTGATATTCGTTTTATTTTAAAGTGATATTATTTAAAGGCCACATTTTGGTCCAAAAGTTCACTATACACGAAATATTGCTTAATATTAATTGTGATAATCTAAATCGAAAGCGTTTTTGGCTTTGGCTCTTATATAAATTTTTATTTGTTTTGTAAATCAAGTGCTCCGTGTTTCTCGCAATTATTACGAATCTTTGCGAAGGCTACGTGTTTCAAGTTGAGTTTAATCGAGGGCTCTAAAGAAGAAAGTCTAGTGAATAATAACTTTTTGTTTTGGATATTTAAGTGACGTATTCAGAATATTAAAGTTATACATACTAAGAATCGACTGATAGACTTGTAGTCTCCGTGGATTTTTATAACAATTAGACATTTGATAACGGGATATTTACATTACAACATTAAAACAAAAGAAATACAACAAATCTTTGGCTACAAAACAACTGACGACTATTCGAATAATACTTATATTAAGTTTATTTATTCGTATTATAATAAAAATAATATATCGATTTAAGCAAAATATAAATTTTATATATTCTTACATAACATCCATCAAAGTTACCACAATATCTGCTATACAAATCTTAGATATAACAAAGAACACAATTTAAAACGAACACATGATTCCGTAGATTATTATTTTTTAAAATAATTTTTGTATTATAAATACAGCTTGGAAAGTTACTTTACATGTTGAAACCACGAGTTTTAACTTTATAATACTTTATCCTAATCATAGTGTTTGTTCTACTTATCTATTAGAAGGCACTGAAGTGTTAAACTTATACCGAATGATTTTTTTTTACAATATATTAAGGCAGTTTGTGGTTCAAGCATTTTGTGTTTCATTTTGTAACTTATAAAATATCTCTGTATGCCAAATACGTCTCACTTCCAAGCAATTTTCATAGTCGAGTTGAATTTTGCTTGAATCAAGGTAATGTCACTCAGGTGGTCTACCGTTCGGTTTAGCTGGAACCTCTTCTTCATCATTTTCAAGTATGGCCGAAAAGGAGAATGGGAAAAACGAATATCCCTGCCCATCGTAGAATTTGCTCATGAATTCAACCCTGATGAAGAATAATATTGAATTAAGACTGATTTTTTATTACCGTTCAGATTTTTAAAGATGAGATATTTATTTTATTTTATAAATAGACAGAATGAACATCGTTAACGTAACTCAGGAATATAAGATAAGTTGGAAACATATATACATATATATAGGTACATATAGAACTTTTAACAATAAATTGATTACACTCTGAAAATAGCTTTTTGAATTAAGATATCTGTTATGAGTATTGATATAAAAATAGCTTTGAGCTCACCAATGTAATCGAAGTGTATGCAAGAACGCTGACAGGCCTTCCATCAGAACAAGTATGGCGAGTGTGAAGAACGCCCATACAGCGAATATTATATACAACATGATGGCATTCACTGGAGAACCACCACTAAGACCCATACGAAGAACACGCTGCCACAGAACCGCTGAGAGTTCTAAAACATACAGTTAAATACTAACATAAGTGTCTATTTGAGCTCGTTAGCAATGCTCCTATAAAATGTTTGTATAATAAAAAGAGGTGTTATATTTTTTGGTACTTGATTTGAAATGATTATTGTAGACAAACGTCTATACTTTATAGTTTATAGTATAGCTCATTTAAGTCGAACCAAAGATAAATTTATGAACTTTTATAATTATTTTGGAATCATATATGTGTCTAATAAGTAACTAGGTAATCAAGAATAGAAAGAGTGTATTTTGAAATAGCATATAAAATATGAACTTACGCGCATGCGCTAAAGACAGCGCCCACAGTCGTAAGTATGAAGCTGTGTGTGAGACAGTTCCCAGTACATACTCTATGGTGTGAATCGCTTGAGTAATGAGAACTTCACTAAGACCGCCGTCGTCTTCGCTCGGTTCAACCTCCCCACTCTCAATGCCTTGCTGGGATTGCTAGTAGGAAAAACATAATTAATATATTGTTTTGGTGCCATTGCGCATTAAAAAGGTATTTTTTGTTTTTTGTATTGCTGACATCTTCTGGAGTGCAATGAAACTTGTTTTAATATGGTCTAAAAATGATAATGCAAATTTTGACATAATATTAAATTTGGTGGAATAAGAATGTCGTTGTTAAAAGTATATTCTTGTAAAGTGATCTATAAATTTTATTTTTAGTATAACGACAACAATGGGGTTACATTATTTCTTTGAATACAATCATACACTATTTTAATATATAGGCGATGTTTTATATAATCTTTATTTTTTAAAAGTGACTTAAATTTTGTTAAGATTATAAAACTAAAAAATAATTACTTATTGCAAACTCGTTTGGTAAAAAAATATGATGCGTCACACATTATGTTAAAAGAAAAGTATTTCAATTCATTCACTTGAGGTATAAAACCAAAAAGAAATACCTTTTTCTTTTTAGCAGCGATTATTTGATACACGGGTTTTCCGAAGAGCATAACTGGTATACATAAAAAGGCTATAGCTAGGAAGGCTTTTTGTATCGCGTCTTGACCATCGAACATAAAGGTCTTGCAAGGAGGAGCGTTCTCTGCTGGCTTGAGGAGCATCATGTTGATGAAGATGATTAATACTGACGGCGCACAAGAGGTACCCAATGCTGGATCTAGTAGGAAAAAAATATTGACATCTTAGAAAACTTCTTAGAAACCAATAGAACAAATGTGTTAACAGAAGATAAGACATGTTGTAGGTAGATAGGTTTCTTCAGGAAATTTGTTTGCACTTAGAGGCATTCTTATATTTGTTAATATAGCTTGCTTAGTTATGCGTGTATAGATTTCAGTATAATAGTTAAAAAAGTGATTGAACTCTGAAAATCTTTGAATTGTATTTTGAAAGACAAACATTTTTGCTGATGTTGAAGGATAGTTTTATTTATTTATTATTATTATTATTATAACAATTAGTACCTGTCGCTATCGCCGAATACATGAACCATTTTATGAACATTAGTATACAGAGATACCAGAACAGTAGAAGTAAAAACAGTATTTGTGGTATATACTGTAACAGTATTAGTTCCGTTTTCTTAAAGAAGCTGCAATATAAAATATTAACATATAATTAAAAAAATAATATTAATGTAATATATAAAACAATACTAAAATAAATTCATGAATAATTAAGTAATTACTTGAAGTTTACCACACTCAATGTTACCCCGAACGCCATATGGATGACACCAAAAATTATAGACAGTTTCATCTTGAAGGAGTTTAGGAATATTATGTTGTTAGCTGCAAACTAAAAAATAAAAAAAGTTACTATAACATACAAAAAATATTTCTTCATTAGAAGACAAGCTATATATTTACCTGCCAAGCTGGATCTAAACCAAGAGGATACGGTGTTTGTGTGTAAGCTACAGCTGGGTCCAAATCAAAATTACTCCTATTTGTCAATGTGTCCAAATCATAAACATTCTTCCAACTGCTACCAAAAATATTTAACGATTTCGAGAACATATCATTGTATATCAGACCGGTGTATATAGAGAATATTCCCATCAATAGCATTATGTAGCGTCCGCCGAAAAATATATTCCAAATCTCATTGTCTGTTTTCTTTTTGGCGAAATTTCTTTCGTTTAGAACGAGTATTGCAGCAAATATGGTTATGATGAGACCGTGGCCCATGTCGCCGAACATAACGGCGAAAAGAAACGGGAATGTTATGATCGTATACAACGCTAGAAAAGAATAGAAAAAAATATTATACAATTAATAAAATGACATATCTGTCTGGCATTGTATTTTAATTTCAGTAGTGTTACATCATGGAAAGTTAAATATATTTTAACTCTATTTCACCAAAAATTTTTACTTCTCAAGAATATTTTTCTTCCATCTAGAATTTTATCTCAGAAATTTATATTTAAAATGTATGGCACGTTAGTATTTTTTTTTACATCTCAAGCATGTTTGATTTTATATTATTTAGTTATGTTTACTTAAATGAAAATATTTTTTTTATACAGGGTGACTGGTGAATTACTATCGATACTTGAGGACGTGATATTTGACGATCATATATGACAAAATAAAAATTAATATAACATAAATATTAATAAACTTCTAAGTAAAGTTAACCAAAAGTTATGTAATTAATTACGCATCGTGTGAACACCCTACAGATTAGGTATACACACACACTCACACACACGCGGCGGGGGCGTGGTTTTGTATCAGCACGTCGCCGCACGCGTCCACACTTGGAACACTTGGAACGTGTCAACACTTTATTTATTTATACGGAAATTTCGTCAAAAATTAAGTACCTATTTTTTTTACATAATTCGAATGAGAATCATGTACCGAGTATGCTTCTTAAATATTGATAGTAATTCACCAGTCACCCTGTATATTTAATTTCAGTTAATAATATATGTATACGTATATTGGCCTTTGCAAGCAGGATTCCAAGCTGTGGCCTTCTATATATACCACAGTTACTTAATTGGTTAGCGATTCTTATTATTTATTTGTGATTTTAATTATAATTACGTTGCTTAAATGTTTCCGGCATAATTAAAGACATTCGAATCGTTATTGTAAAATTTAAAAGTTGTTTTGTATTCTAGCCAAATATTAAAGGGTAAAGATAAGAAATATTTTATAAACATCATACAAATATAAGAAGATATAAGACTTTCAGTAGTATTCATTTAAATGAAACTAGCATTATTCGGATTACTACTACACAACTCGTCTGCCCGTGATCACGGTTGTTGTAAAGTAACCGAAACGACGGGTGTATGTAGTTTTATAAAATAGTAAGATACGAATAAATCGCAGTAATCATTATACTAATACTTTGTACTAATAATATTTTTTTACCTGGATTAACTTCCCTATAGCTAGCGATTCCATAGGAATCAATAAGAGTTTGGAAGCCACGTGTAAATTTATTAGTTCTGTTAAACGTCGGTGGGACTTCTCTCGTCGGTACATGATGTAGGATCGATGGAATCGGACTGCCACTTGCTTTCTGATGACAAAAATAATCGATTTCACAAAAAAAATCATAGAAAACAACAAAATTAACTATATAGTTCATATAAAATAGCTAAAATCGTTAAAAATATTGTATAACTAATAAAATAAGTTATTTAAATTTTATCTCTAAGAACATACCACACCATTGTCCAAGGCTTTCTGTAATATGTGCAAGTCCTGACGCGGGACCCAGCACTCAGCAATCAAGCATTTTTTTATAATGTCCATACTGAACATGTTCAATGTGTGGTAAATCGCTTTCTCCTTACGAACTGCCACCATCCAAGTGCTTATGTCGCGACCAATATTCGCTAGCACTAACCTTCTGTGCTGTTCTGTCTGTTCTAGTACCTATAAAATTAATTTATCGATTATTTTGAATATAATATTTTCTCCAATTTACATTTTAGACTTATTCATATTTTTAAAATTATCTGAGTTTTGCCGTTACTTATAATACTTAATTGGAAAAAGGAGCGAAAGCTAACTGTAAAAATGATAATGACGTTCCAGTATAATATGAAGATTCATATTATATGTAATTATTGTCATATATTAAATTAATATTAACTGATTTGCTGCAAAAGCATAAATTTGTTAATGATACTTAAAATATACTATAATATATACAGCTGTATAACCGGCACCCTCACTACGAATCCATTTAATGCTAAGATGTTTCGTCTCTTATACTAACCATTTCTAAATCTTTGATTCGCGATCCAATTCCTGCAATCATTTCCTGTTGCTCCTTGTACGTAGCCGGGCATGGGTACAGCGTTGCTTGGAAACCGTGACAGACTTTCTTCACTCTTAACTTAATTTGTTCTCCGTGAAAGAATACAACGAATACTGTCTTTTGCAGCTCATGTCCCTATAAAAATAAAAAATATCATTCCTTTATCTTATACCATAATTTTATATTCAGAATTATTTTTGCATCACTAGACCTATTTGAAGGAAATTGTAATTATGTAAAATCCTCTATGTGAATTTACAGTCTTTGAGAAAATTTTGTAACGCTTTATAACTAACAACAAGGAAATCAATAAAGCATGCCAATGACCTTTTGGCATTTGCTTTTTACCTAAAACCTAAATAAGTAACCAGGCTTTTAGTATATTAATTCTTCTTATCGTAATTAAAAACTATTTGTTAATTTTTTATATGAACAAATATTTTTTTCACTTATTGCGTAATGAACAAAGAAAGTTCTTTAAATAAGTTTATGACATTTCTTGCTTTAAATGAAACTAATATTTTTCGGATATCTTACACTCCCGACGTTTCCGAAAAATATTAGTTTCATTTAAATGAATACTCGCAAAGGTCTTAGATCTCATAACATTTATTACTTACTGTTACTGGATCTTTGAGTGGTTGATCAATTTGTGCCTGTTTAAAAAAGATATTCCCGTGCGATATCCTCCATAGCATTCTCTCAAAAGAGGCAACCCTGGGAGTAGCCACGACACCTGCTATAAATCCTAAGTGGCCTATCGCCCCTTCGTTATTATATACTTGAACCGAAGCGGATATTTTTCTATGAGCGCTGTGATCTTGAAAAAACGTTTGCGTCTTCTCAATCAATAGTTTCAGTTCTATCAATGCGAGATAATCTGTCTTTAGATTTTGAGCGTTTCTAGTTATTTCTTGAATTTCTGACTCGATGTAGTCAATCCTTTCCTAAAACACATTGATTGTGACAGAACATGACAGAAAATATGTCAGAACATGTGCGTAATCGCAAATTTTTCTAAACAGGGCCTATGTGATTATTTTGTTTCATGGTCACTATTTAATATAACGGAAGTTTTACCTCTAGTATGTTAATTTCTCTTGGCGTCAATACTCTTGGTGAATGTTTGGGAGGTGGTGGAGGTTCAGGTAGTTCACCGCTCACCCAACGCAACTTCCTCTCCATTTCACTGCATCGCCTCACCTCAGACACATAACGTCGTTGGAAATCATTAACGTGGGGATTCAACTGTAAAAGTTATAATATATATCGCTTAATATTTACAAAGTTCAAGGTTCAAGTCTCCGACATTTGAAAAATGGTTCGATACTTTGAATGGTTCGGATTTGGTTCTATCACATAACATAGATCGAAAACAGTTTGGTTTTATTTAAATATGAAATTAATGTCATTTCCAGAAAACATGACGAATTTAATTTTAATAAAAATATAATTATTATATAACAATAAATCGTATTACTCGCAAAGGGCACACCTAAAGCCAAAAATAGACCGTCAATTGGTCATTCTCTGTATCTACGTAACTTTTATTGGATCCATTTATAGCTCGGGTCGTCATGCATCTAATCTATCAATATACAACTCATAACATTAAATGACTTTTACACGTTTTGTAGGTTACATTAATTATTTATGTTTTTATTTTCTTTATAGCAAAAATATTTTTTGTGTTATTATATAGTTTAAATTCTCTAGATACAGACTTTAATTCGGTACGATTAAAGGAAGGATGAATGTCTCAACTTAATGGTGATATAGCGAAGACTAAGTACTTGCATCCGTACGCTTTGTCTTTCGTCTAGTAATTTAAGAGGAGTCTGCGATAGGATTAACGGATGTGCCAAGTAATAATATTAAATCTAAAAATACTTCATAATCCTATAGGTTAGAGTTAGAGATACATAAACTAGAATTCCCGGGTAGCGTATATTTGAAAACGATAATATTGAAAACATTTTTGGAGATAAAATGTTAACATAGATATTTTTCTGGCAGTGGACTGTCTGTCTGAATGGTTATTTAAAAACGGATAGTTTCTAAGTTTCTCAAATCTAAAACTATCTGTATATTTTATATTGTAATACAAGTTATTTAAATAAATTTAAAAACGATGTTTATTTGAAAATATAAATTCCTATCTAGTTGAGGTACGTTTGTATCTCAGTCGTTTTGAAATAAATATATGATTGCTCTACATGATTACTTATTGTATTGTTTTGTTCGTCACTTATAAACAATAGGACGAATGTTTAAATGCAACTTATATTCAATGAGGTACGGTTATTCTCATTTTCTCCTTTTATATAACATGTACAATGTAATTATTTTTAATTGAAACGGCAATGAGCAATGAGACACATTTTATCACGCTTACGTAACGAGATAAATGAAGTGTTTACTTGTATAATTCATTGTTCTGTCACTTCACTAAGGATTAGTTACAATAACTAGGGTTACTGGGTTTCAATTTTTATCTGTCTTACAAAGATTGCATTGTTTTCATTATTATCAATATTAATTGTGCTATTATCTTTACATAAATTTTTCCATGTTAGGAGATCGATGTAATGTTTTTCGTATAAACTAGATTTTTTATATATTTTATAAAAACTAATTTGAGACTGATTTTTGTGCACATAATATAGGGATAGAATTTTTTATTGATACATAGAAACATAACAGGATCTTTAGATTAAAACTATGTTAAAAATACAAACCACCTATTAACCTATTTTTGATTACGATTCAAAATTAGTTTGTAACTTTAATATTCTAATTTCAGTTCTAACTTCCTTGTTGATTGTTGAATTATATATTTTCAAACATTACATACTACCTGAAAACCACAATGTTTGGAAACAATTTTAATAATTTCAATCTTCATTACGTATAATTATCAATATGGATTAGACAGTAATGGCTTCTTAATATACTTTTAGTGAGTTTTTGAAGGCTATTGAAGGAGTATTAAATATACGAACGTATAATTAATTCTTTATCAATATATGTATAAAAGTTAAGACCTATTTACAATTATTTTTTTTATATATTTAGTACTTCCTGGTAAATTTATTTACCGTTCTAGTTATATTTTTGGTTTTATTTAATAAAAAATACTTCGTTAAACATTAATTAGTTTATAAATAATAAGTAAATCCCTACTAATATTATAAATGCGAAAGTAACTCTGTCTGTCTGTCTGTCTGTCTGTCTGCTACGCTTTCACGCCTAAACCACTGAACTGATTTTAATGAAATTCGGTACAGAGATAGAGTTGACCTTGAGAAAGAACATAGGATAGTTTTTATCCCAGACTTTTGAAAGGTTCTCTTGGAAACGCGATATAACCGAACTCCACGCGGCGAAGCTGCGGGCGGAAAGCTAGTTTTAAATATATTAAAAAAATATGTAAATCTTCGTTTACTTTGAGTTATTTAAGCTACACAATAAAATAGTGTAACTGTGTAGAGAAGTTACATAAATTTGAATGTTATACTATTTAGCGAATAATATGTAGCAATATAAAAACTCATGTATAAAGAATTGTTAAGCTATGAGCTATATAAGAAGGGTTATTAAACTCGGCTATGACATAAAATAGTTGGTACTGCATTTACTTATTAAAAACACGAACGCACACAGAGTGTGTTCTTTCTACGCATGTCATAATATATGTATTTTGAATATGTATATTATAAATCGATTGTGTCATGACTTAAGGCGCTCCCTTTGCGTTATGATGGCACGCGAATTGGGGGAAAGTCCGCATAAATAATGGCCACTTTGTTGAAATATTTGGTAAATCGTATAATTTTCTTTTATGTTACATTAAAATATGTGCCAAAAAATATACATTAACAATTAATATATTACAGTCTTTAATATTTCTGTGGATAATAAAGTCATAAAAGTATTGTACCTTTAAAGGTTTTGTATAAACATTTTCCTTCAACTGTCGCGGTCGAAATAGTTCGCTTTGTTAAACGCCAACAATAAAATTTATTACTTCACGTCAATTAAGATATCGATTTTCTTTTGTTTCTTATATATTTATGAGATTTATATCATATATAATAAAAATTTAAATCCATAACAGGAATTAAATCATTATTTACAAGAATACTGTCGTAAGTATATTCTAATCCCTACTAATATTATAAATGCGAAAGTAACTCTGTCTGTCTGTCTGTCTGTCTGTCTGCTACGCTTTCACGCCTAAACCACTGAACTGATTTTAATGAAATTCGGTACAGAGATAGAGTTGACCTTGAGAAAGAACATAGGATAGTTTTTATCCCAGACTTTTGAAAGGTTCTCTTGGAAACGCGATATAACCGAACTCCACGCGGCGAAACTGCGGGCGGAAAGCTAGTTATATATAAAAATGATAATATTTTGGTCTCCTACGTTCGTCAAAAGACTTTTTTGATATAAACCGGATGGCTTTTAACTATCATTTCACATGTTTTTTGGTGGAAATGAAGCTGAAATTGGTAAAAACACATATCAGTAATAGCTTATCACCTTTACTTAAAATACTCAAATTGTAAGTTGTATGAAAGGATGACGAAGTTAAACTATCCCAATACTTTGCTGAACGAATGATAGTGGAATTATTATTCATAAAACTATTCAACTAATACGTATTAGATTCTCAATGCTTGTTCGTTTGTTCATTTCCTAAATGTATATAATTTCCGATGAAGAGGCTAACTTTTAAATAATTTTGTCTAGCGATAATTTTCCCTTTTATTTCAATAGAAGACATTGTATGTAATAGATATGCATAGATAAATCAATAATGTACTATGTAATATGTTATATTTACCATATTTTATTATAAGTAACTAGAGATTATGGACATATATGTTTCTATTCTCTGCTCAAATAATCTGTTTTAATCTGTTCAGCCAAAGGGTTCCCTCGTGATTTTGGACTCATTCCAGAACTATTCCATTCTGTTATTGATGATTTGAAATAGATTTTCATTACCATGACTTTGTTTTAATTTAAACAATGATATACCATCCGATGATGATTTCTATTACAACTAAAATCCCTTAAAATGAATAGTAAAATTTTATTTGTGATCGAATGAAATAAATGTAAAAGGTAATGGATAATAAATAAATGTACATTCATAAATCATTTGTTAAAATCATTAGTGTTATATGAATTCATTGAAAACCATTCTCATTAGCTGAAATATTTAGATTGGATCAACTGTATTACAGATTAAGTGGTGTAAATATATATTTGTTTGTTACGTACGCGCATCATATTGAAAAAATAAATGAACATGGCCGAGGCGACATTGTTGTGTGGATAAAATATCATATAACGAGTGGCGTTGCTGACTCCGCGGAACGAACACCAAGCCGTGTGAACCAGAAGGTTCCTGATATCACACAAGCTATGGAATGGGATTGATATCCTAACATCGGTGCAATCATGTAGTCTTAGGTAAAGGTTATAAGTTTAAATATGTAATTCTTATCATGATATATACATATTTAAGTAAGTTTCATAGTTTTCCTTGAACCTCTGGTTGCCACCCTACATAATTAGTTTGCATATGTTTTCTATTTTAGTTAGCAAATCTTTTAAAGTGGATTATTTTTTTCAATGTATGAAAGAAAAGGGTAAATGTAAATGGTTTATAAACCGTCGCTTACAACCAGTCTCCGCTGGTTGCTAATACTCTTAATTGTGTTAGATGATATTCTGACCTTGCGGCTCTACGATACTATATAATCATTCCATTTTAAATAAGGTGCCTCATGTAGAACATATAAACAAAAAGACTGTAATGCAGAAATTTAATTTCTTTGTACACTAATTCTGATTGTATTTTATATAGATATTTGTGAAATACGGCCTAAAATTTTTGTTTCATGTCCATTTGTAGGTACTTCTCTTTCGCTTTATACTTCAAAAGACAAGTTATTAGTTTTAACCCTCATAAAGAATATCAATTATCCCTTAAAGTGCTGCTCCATTTTTGTTCTAGCGGGATAATAGTAAATATATATATATATATATATATATATATATATATATATATATATATATATATATATATATCAGACCTATTTTGGAAAAATCAAAATGTTTTGTAAAACTAATACACTAAACTAAACCATTTAATAATAGAATTTATTCGTATGAAAGTATACGAAAATGTTATTATTAAATGTTCAATGTTATGTATACAACATATTTCATTAAGCTTACATCTCTGAACTGAGCTATTCCCGCCTCTCCGAGCTCGTACATTGATACATAAGCTGCTTCAGGCTGAACGAACAGCTGACATAGCACCATTTCCTCGCTCCTAAACATCGTGCTGGCAGGACCTGGACCTATAACAAAAATTACCATTACAATACCTATATTAAATATTAATATACTTCAGTAACCATTCAGATTATATGCAATTGTTATCTAAGGTTAGTATATTGATGTACAAAAAATACATAGTAAAATATAGGTAACAAAATAAACGGTAAAAGAATCAGTTTGTATGTAAATTAATTTTCACATAAGCTAAATAACAATTACAGTGTCATTCACATTGACGAGTGAAGTTCAAGGTTGTGTTGGCTTTCGTAGCGTTTCGATTTCGTTCCAGTACATTGTTATAAAACATATTGTTGGAAAAAAATCAATATAAAATATCTGGTACTGAATTATTATTATGATTATAACCACAAAAACGTGTAATTTATTATTGGGATTTTATAATTTCACGATGCTATGATAAGTGTAATGTATTCTAGAAAGTAATGCATTAGTTTCTCACACAAATTTAATTTCTCGGTTGAAATACATTAATTCACATGTAATGTAGCTTTGAATTCCATTGGATTTTCTTTTAATATTCATAAGCACGGTAAACTGATTCTAAAATGTCAATCTATCTGACCTTCGATTTCATTGTTTATCAAAATTTTCCGTAATTTTTGGTAAATTATCAAAATGTTCCACCGGAAGAAACCATATCAATTGTGTTGGTATCTAATTACACCATATTTTTTTCATTTTCATACGCTTTCAATAGATTTTTTATTAAGTAGGGTTAAAGGAATTTCGGAATTATAATAACAGTAAACGAAGAGAAAGAATTATTGCTGAGAAATACTCAGTAAATCGAGGCTAAGACGGTTTTAACGACAGAGTGTATACAATGTGAAAAAATGTTAATACGTAATTATAGTTACTAGGATGAAAATAGTTTTTTTGACGACGCTACTTTTAAATGTGTTGAATTTTGAGCATTTCATATAAATTTAAACAGTTTGTTAAGCTATATACATCTATTGAGAACAGTTCCAATGATCAAAAACTATTTCAACAAATAACAGTCATAATAAAGGTACACCCACACTGTTTTATTTTAGTACTACATCATAGTCATCATTACTCGATGAAGATACTGAATGGGTATAATATTTACTTATTTATGTTTAATTGTTCTTAAGGAATTCGAGATATTTAGCGACCGGGCGTTACGAATCTGGCAGCCCTGTGCACTGCCCAGCCAGACTTGCATTGAGACGCCACCAGGCCATTTTTACACCTGGACATCTTCCAAATAGTACGAGTTATCAAAGAACACGTTATCGGTGTGACATTCCTCCTATCTTCTGTAGAGACTGTATTGATCCAGAATGATATATGTCTTATTTATTGAATCTGTTTTCAGATTTCAAGGACGTTAAAATTTTTGGTACATTATTTATACTATCAAATGCTACCTAACGTTTTAAATTAATGGAATATTTTATGATTTATAGAGTGGGTTTTAGCTAAAACTTTGTTAATAATAATATCTTTTTCAACATTGTTATACCTCGAACTTGAATATATGTTTATTTAATTTTACCTTTCTAGGCCTATAATTGAACGTGATAGCTAGAAAAAATTGCGTGTTAGGCATATATGTATTAGACTACTCTAATTTCCACAATATGGACTCTTATCTGGGAAGTTGTAAGCTTTAACAAGAGGAAGGACAATTGAAAAATTAAGTTTTATTGCATCTCACTTCATCCGAAAAATTAAGTAAATAATATTTGATATTTATCTTGCACGGAGACGATCCACAAGAATGTTTTAACTAATACAAATTATCTTTATCACGCTTAAAAGTTCAAAGTTCATGAGATAGAGAACGAGTCCATACTAAATATTTTGACTATAACATAAATATCTATAAAATATTAAGTTTTGTTACAATATCAGGTTCCCCAATTCAAACTTTAATACAATTTTAGAAATATTACGAAATACATAAAAGTTTTATGTATTACTTCTTTCATATTTTTTTGTTTTTCGAATTAAATAAATAGCAAAAATTGTGAATTCATTATAATTTTTATTAGATTAATGGAGCAACATTGGTCTAAGATTTCAATTTAGTTAAAAACGTATTAACCAGAAAATGTCAGGAAAATACTTTTTTGGAAAAACGAAATACAACATTGATTCTTTGTAAATTACGATAATTATCCGTATTTTATCATCAACTATTGTTATTTTAAGAGTTTCGTAAAGGTTTATTTCAAGGTGTTGTTTTCGATACAGTTCGTATAGCAACTAATAGAGCTGATAACTGTCAACAGCCTTAAGATTAAAGTTGTTATTCAGAGTCAATGTTTAGAATTTCACACACAATACAAAACTTCATTAGATAACCTTTCGAATGTGTTAGACAAGGAGTATGTCACCGCGTCTATTTCTGATGTACTATTTTTATATTGTAAATATTTGACCGCCATTTGGATTGTTTATGGTCCTAGTTATTGTAAAATATCATTAGTCTAATGTTGTTTACTTTCGTAGGCGTTAGCTATTTCTTTGTTAAGAATTTGCACAGTAATTATGTTTGAAATATGTGTTTTATTTCAACAAATAAAACATACAGATTTATTGTTTTTTTGTGTGTTTTACAATTTAATGTGCTTAGATTATAAAAAAATATTTGAAACGCTATTGTGGTCAAGGCTGTTTTGTGAAAACTTTTGCCCTAGATTATATTTTTTGATAAGGAATTAACTTGTTTTTGTCGAATATGAAATTCGTGCATTTTTGAATTTTTATATATCTTTTTTAACTTCAAAGACATTGGGGAAGAGAAATTAAATTAAAAATTGGACTCATAGTTTTTATTCATACGTCTATTTAATAATTCATAAATGAATTGGCTAATGACCTCGTTGCAGTAAATTTTTTTGAACTTCGAACTTTCAAACCGAATCGATAACAAAGTTATCGTTCTATTAAATAATCATAGATTAGTTTGACATTTAACTTATAAAAGTAGAATTTTTCGTCTTACCGTTGATAAAAAATATATATATTTAACACAAACAGTCACTACACACTATATATTTAAACAGGCGGGACATGTTATGCACTCAAACGTACGAGCGGGCTGTTCGCTGTGCTTGTGCTAACTGGGCTTGGGAGTTGTGAGTTCTTGGCGGTATTGTGTTGCCAGACACAACTGTCACTATACGATATACAGCTAGCTACAGTTTACGTTATATTTAATTGTAATCATGAAAACTGGAAGCTTACAATTAGTGTGAGTTTCAGCTGAAAAGCGTTTTGGATTTGATTATTTTTTGAACGTACGAATTTTCATGAAAAGTTATGTGTTTATATTCAAACTGATAACTATTGCAATTGTAATGGATATTTCTGTGTTTATTTATTATGTTTATTGTACGATGCTCCTTTCGAAGAGAATTTCATAGGCTATATTATAATTTAAAGAAATTAGAGAAATTGTGTTAAGAACAGTATTCGTTTTAAGAGTTAAGAAAAAATATTTCCAAGCGGAATTTCAGACCATAATAACTTTAGTATGAATTTTATAGTTAACATCGACAGTTTCATCGGTTTTAAGTCGTAAATCATCAGTTATAAGAATATATGTATGTAATAAATATAAAATTTCTCGTGCATTGGTAAATAAAGAATAGATTCTCTTGTAAAGTGTATTTGATATTTTAAATACATCACAATGTAAAATTAATATTAACTACTGGATTTCGGTATAAAAAATAATATTAATATAAAAAAACTGGTTAAGTATTTTTTTAAGTGAGGCTTAAGCTTAAGCTTATATTCTTAGTTTTAAATTATGATACTAAATTTGTCATTTTATTTTAAACGTTGTTAAGATGAATAAATATTTACTGGGTGTCGCATAAAGAAGTAAGTTGCGACACTGTTGTTAAGTGAATTTAATTTAAGGATGTCAAATTGTATACGATTCGCGAAAAAATTTGTAACATAAATGAAAACAATTCGCCATACCTAATTTCGTAATTTAACACAATTTTAGTACATTACTCTATAATCATATGAAGAAATTTTGCTTAAATTTTTATTAAAATTTTCGTGGGTACTTTAATTCTCTTGCTACTTTATTATTTGTAATATATTTTTAGTTAAAATTAATTTATATTAAATAGCACGATAGATAGCAAGCCAGTTACAAACCTAATGCTATAAGTACCAATGTCCTGGCCTGTTTATTAACGGACCACATGCAGTTTAAAGTAGACGTATGCTTATAGATTTTAACAATGATACGTATTTATAGGTAAAATATGCTGAGATATAAATTAATGGTAAATTTATATAGAACTCTGTTGCGAGGTACTTCCTATTTTCATATTTATAAGTGTTTTCTATAAACATAGGAGTTTTTTCTAAGTATTCATTTTAAGAAGACACTGCTTGTAGTACGAATTTAAATATTTTCTTCTCGTTACATTTTCAATAATTGGTGTAATATAAGATTTATAAGTAATAGATTTTTATTAAACTAAAATCTATCGGCATTATTACACTATTTGAACATTTATATTACATTGAAGATCGTCTATTTTTTATATGTAAGAGAAAGAATTAGTTGTCTAGTAATTTGCCCTTCGATTTACTGGGAAACGGTTTTAGAAGTCAATAGATAAATTACATCATTAAATTCAAAGCTACTAGTTGAGACGTAGCAGGTGTTTGTATAGAGGGCATAACGAACGATTTAATAGGCTGTTTCTTTTTAAGATAAACAATCAAAAATCTCAACGCCTACGCTAACTACAAGTACAAGTTAGATTTTAGTTTAAATGTGACGTTATAATATGCGAAGAAGTAAGGACATAATTATAGCTTGCTTACAAAGAAGATCTGTCATATACTATCAAACTTAAACTACAAATGTTGTTATAATTGTATTAACTTCCAAACACAACTTTTCATAGCTTGTATTTAATTATACGGAATAGTGGAAAGAAAGATATCTAACGCAATGTTTTATAATAAATATATAATTTTGTAATCTACTTCTGAAGATTAACTTGTAGAAGAAAAATATATATATTTATATACTATCATTATTCTCAGATTACACTAGTAAAAATAATAATAATAATTATGTTGTTTTTATGTACATTTTACGTAAGTTTATTAATAAAAGTATTTAGTTCATAGTCTCAAGGATATTTTAAGGGAATATCTATATCGTAAATTAATGATACTCACGGTTTAATGGACTTTATATAAGATAAAGTGTTAACAATCAGTTATTAGAATACAATGCTTGCACCGAGTTCTTAACAGAGCACTTGTATCTCTAGTTGATAACGAACTAGGCATTTTCTGTTTTTCTTATGTACAGGACACTATGACAGAAAATAACCCGACATTCCACACATATCATATAGAAAGTGCAATTTATGGATAGTTGGTAATGATGATTAGCCAATATCATATCACTAATTGAGAATAATCTATTGAAAATCATCATAGTACCGTCTACTGTAATAAACGTGTTTTCTTTTGAAACTTTTACCAATATAAGCAGTCATTACTTTATTTATAACACAACAACCCTTGTTCAGTTTCATTGTGTTAAAATAATGGATAAAAATCTAATTTCACACAATGTTGCATCGTGTTAAGAGACGTCAAGCTTGAACCAATGACATTCTATATTATTTCGATTAATGACATCCCATTCAAAGTCCTTAAAGAAAACTCATAGAAAATTAAAATTGAGGTCTTACTTTGTTCAGATTTAGCGATATATAGATACGTACTTGGTTCAATTTCTTTATTTTTCATGTATAAATTCTTAATTATAATTTAAATTATTTAGATGTAGTGAATCTTTTGTCCGTAGGCGGAATTCTGTTGGTGCTATTACGCCCCAGTTAGCATCGACCCCCGCAGTTAAACTGGCTTCGCTAAATTCAGTACATTTATAACTTTTATACTTGTAAAGAGTTCAGGTCTACACGTGATGGTTGTGAAAAAATTACATAGCACTTAAATGAGATTGTAACGTAAAGGTACAACATTTTTTGTTTGTACTCATATTTTAGTACTATTCTAATAAAAAAAAAGAAACAGAATTTTACTCTTTAAAGTCATACAGCTAGTTCAAAAGCGAAGGAAAAATAATAAAGACATTTGTTTGTGAACTTTAACATGTTTGTAATAGAATCTAAATTTATTTGACATACCAAGAGCGTCTATTGAACTCGTTGTTGCTTTGTACATTTCCTCCATAGTGACATCTTCCATATTTGATAACTTTAATTAGACAAAGTTATAAGAACGCTTCAAATGAACACGTCTATTGCAACGATGTTCTTGATCTAATAAGGTTTAATAGAGCATCAGTGTTGAAAAATACAATTGATTAGATAATTAGATACTTATAATAAGTATCTATATAGAAATATTCCTTTGACAAGGGCTATAGTTTAAAATTTTGCTTGTTTACATACGTGTTAATTAAGCAACAGATTTTATAAATTATGCGCCTGTAGTTGAGATTTATTTTAAAACTTTAATTTTCTTTATGTAGAAAAAAAAAGAATTGATACCAAATGTGCATTTAAAATTTTATTTGACTGTATATGCTAACTTGGTCAAAGTTAATGAATAGATTGATTTTCAATTTGTATTATAATTTTATTATAAAGATGACTTTTATACTTCATTCAATTTTGTTTTTTTTAAATCAAATTAAAACTTGGTCAGCTTAAAGGATATCAATTATTTAATACAAAATCAATTGAAAGAAAATATTATGAAGAAAATGTAAACGATTGGGGAAGAAGTATGACATAGGTTGTTGTCCATAAGCTTATATAAAAATTTGTCCAAGTACAATGATATATATTAACGTCAATATGATACGATACGTTATGATATGATCACGTGCAATTCATTTGATTAAAGAATAATGTCAAACGACTTGAGTTCCGTCTACTACAATAGTAAATAAGGAAATGTGTCTGTCCGTGTCCCAAATTCATATCTAGGGTTGTCTAACTTCTATGTTCAGGAATAGTTTTATTGCATATATTTTTAATTTAATTAAATTGAAAATGAAATTTTATATATGTTTGAATTATATAATATAATCAAACACTTTATCAAAACTTTTTCTTCATTTATAAAATCTTTAACCAATAACCATTGTTTTATATTTTTAAATGATATATTAAAAATTTACAGGTTGATTTTAAAATGGATGAATAAGTATAATTATTTATTTATTATCTAATAAAATAAAATAAAACTCAAAATACTTAAATAAGCGCCATCAAGTACTTTTAAATGTTATTGTATAACTGCCATCTTTTGGTAGAGACTGGAACTTCAGAGGACTTCGGTTGCCTATTTTATGTGTTAGCCTAATAACATTACGTTTTCATTGTCATAGATAGATGGAAAAGTTAATATGAAGGGTACGTAAAATAAAGGAAGCAGCACTGATAACTCTTTGCTAATTTAATATGAAAACATAAAAAATATATCTTATAAATATATTGTCGAGTTTCTTTTATCTTAGTTATAAAATTTATGAAATAAATTTAGTAAAAATACTTAAGAAACAAAAAAAAAAATTTAAAATATCTGAAACTAAAATCTGACATTGTAAATTTTAGTCGGAAATTAAAGAAAGAATTCTAGCTCTTTCTTATAAGGTTTATTTTGAAATACAGAAAATAATTTAAATTATTAAAAAAGCTTAGTTTCCAAAAAGAAGTTAATTTATTAACTGAAAATTTTTGACGGTAGAAAAAAAAATTACTGAAATTGTTATAATTAACTATTACCTTTGCCGAAAGGTTCATTAAATATCTCCATTATAATTTGTTTTTAATATTTTTTGTATAATGTTTTCGCTTATAATTATTAATATAATCTTTTATATAATACCAAAAAGATTGAATAAAATTTTTGGTTTCATACATTTTTAGTAAACATGTCGTATCAAATAACAAATGACTGTCGTTCATGAGAAGTGTTTCCAAAAAATATCACATGATCGTTATTCCATAGCAGCGTCATCTCCGAATTGAAAGAGGCTGTTAGTCGATTCCGTGTCCATCAAACTCTTATCCTATGTCAAGCCTTGCGAAGCTGGGGCAGTATCAAATGAGCGTTGCCCCTCTACGGACGTGTCGCGTAAATTCACTTAACAATGGATGTGTCGTGCAAAGGTAAACCTATTTTTCTTTAATATACAACGTGGGAATTTTTTTTTCTTGCACTATTTATATATATTATGCCTTTATTTTTATGATTTTCAACGTTTATGCAGAGAACGCTTAGTGACTGATTATTTTTCAGTCTTCGTTTATATGTTTTTTATTTGTTATGTGATGTTTTATTTATGTATAGTATTCATTCGTGTATAGATAATATAATTTTTGTTTTTGTGTCACTTAAAATTGTCTTTTTAATCTTTTTATTTATTTACACTCTGTTTGAATTGGATTTTTGTTATAAATTAATTTTCATTTTAAATGATTTATAATCTTGTCACATTAAGTAACGGTTATCCAGAACTTGACAACTGAAAAATATAAAAGTATTTTCAGGTTTAAACCTTCAGAAAATAAAATTACAAATTTTTACCCTTTTTGTATTCTCAAATTTTAATAAAAGCCACTGAAAATTATAAACCATAAACCCTAAACAATTATAATTTATTATCTATACATATAAAGAATAAAAAATCACTTCATTTTATGTATCCTCTAGAGCTTATGATTAACGAAATTAGAAAGACGTTAGTCGGTTTAAAATACTTAAAAAAACATTGGATATCGTATAAAATATTTCTAACGGAATTACCAGCTCATCTAAACTGTCACCCTAACATTTTAATTCAGAACGGATCATTCAATTCGGTTATTTTTTATACTGCATAATAATAGTAAACTTCGGTTGCCCATTGTACGCCTCACGTTCTGTTAGGGGAGAAGAGCCCTTTGGCATAACAAAAGGATAGTGTAACACGCAGGGGACTGACTGGTTCGTCTACATTAAAAGTTATCGCTTAGATTGTACAGATTTATTAGCTGTATTATTCGGTATCTTATCTACAATTATTGGGTTCTTTATATGGGATCACGAACGTTGAACTTCGTTTAATATAGGATAGAGACCCCTCTTCTGATACAGTCATAGCATTGCTTTTTTATCATAGATTTTAGCCCTTTTTAACATCAAATTAGAGGCACTTTTACCTCATACAATAATGAGTTCTGTAAATAATTTCTAGGTACAATTCTCACAGTTCATTAAATGTACGTTTGAAGTAGATAGCGCATTTTCTAATGCTACATATGCTTTATATCAGCCGCTTTTTGTTTACATCTGGGCTTAAAACTATTTTCGTACCGCAGTAATTACAATTATCTGTTTTAGGGTTCGGTGAAAAACAAAAATGCTCATTAGATTAGTGAAAGACGGTGGGCAGATTTTTTCTTGTTATTCTTTTTTTATAGTAAGCAAAACTTAAAATGGATTACCTAATAAAAAAGAAATATTTACAGTTAAAGGTTAGCGTCTTCATAAAAAATAATGAACAACTTACCTTTATACTTAAAAAGCTAAGCTGTTTAAGAAATCAAATAAAGTTGTGATAAACGTGTCACTTCCATTTACAAAAGAACTTTTGTAATATATGCAAATTGTTTTTATTCCTACTTTTTCAGATTCATAATGAGATTTGAGACTTTCGCGTGTATTCATTTGTAGATTCATATTTCAAAACTCCATTTTTACTCTAAATATGTAGAATATCTGCGGATTTTATTGTAATATTTTGTTTCGTCCCATTAGAAACAAGAGCAGGTTTGATAGCATATCAGATTTCAACAACTTTAATTGACAAGAAACAAATTTAAAGGTCTTTGTATTCAAACAATCTCACTTTCTTTAAACACTGTTCAAAAGAAGGTTCAGTCCCTCATTACGACAATATCCTATTCCAACAATAAAACGTAACGTCAACAGTTGAATACACACAATTAAAACGCATCTATATGTCTATTCGCACCCAGATTTAGTTTTGAATAAGCTTGGGACTAGATAAGCTGCACATGATTCTAACCCTTACTAGAAATGCATTCTGTTACTGTGACAAATGGGGTGTCAATTGAATATCATTACAAATATCATGAAGAAATATGTGCATAGGCCACATTGAAATATGAGGGTACCACAGTATGAAATTATTAACTATGAGCGTGAAACTTAATACTATAAATCATTTATTAGAGACGGGACTGATAAATATATATTGCTTTTTGTTAAAGTTACGTGTAGTTAGCTCCGTACACAGCATAAGTTCTTATTATTCCTTTTCGATTTATCTATGAATGAAAAGGGAAATATAATATTTTTATGATTTGTACGCCTTACGATCTTTAAAGTAAGAGTGTTTTTTTATGTATGCCAGTCACTTAGAATTCACAATAATATATGTTTATATAAATTCAAAGAACGTGGGCGCGAAGCTTGCCCATTACCATATGGTGAGCTTACTTCTTAATACTCATTTTATTTACTCGCTTTTTTATTTACTTATGACATTATTATTTACTTGTTGGCGGTCCTTATTGTAATGGCTGACTTAAACAAAGCCTATAAAATTGTACAATTCATCAAGATCATCAAATTATTAAAGAGTTTCATAGAAATATTTTTACATTTTATGTGTAAAAGAAAAACAATTACCCATAGTCTCAAATTTGTTATTATATAAATGAGTTGAATTTGTCAAATAGTATGCATAGTTATAATCCTTGCAAAGAATTCTTTCTTGATTTTGTCGTGTTTCTCAGTGTAATATTCGGTTTCAGTACTTAGTGAGTCAGTTAATTCTAACTCACCTATTCCAGTTTCTCCTCATATTACGAGTAATATAGCGAAGGCCAGACTAGATTAGAGAACAGCACATCGAGTAAAATTTGCGATTCAATGACGCGTCTGTCCGTCTGCTTGTGACAGTAATTGTATAAAATCGGTCCATTGTGTGGGTCATATTCAAATAACGTAACGTAGGTGATGATTTGTACCTGTATACCTATGAATTTGCTAGAACTACAAACGCAACTAGCATTAATAAATATTTAGTTATTTATTTAGAACAGTTTATCTCATAACATATAAGGAAAATGTCTGTCGACGTTACTTTAAAATTTCTCCAACTAAACAAAAATGTTTTGATTTATTAATTGATTTTTCTACTTATAAAGCAAATACAATCTTAAATGAATCCATAGTCATTATGAAAACAGTTCGAGAAACCATTCAAATGTAATTTATAAGAAAATTCTATATTGTATTGTAAGCATTAAAAAAAATCATAATATTTGTCCTACTTTATAAACATGACAAATAAATTAACATAGAATTAGATCAAATAAAGAAAATATGTATCTATAATACCTATATAATATATTTAATTTTAACCTTTGCAATAAGACCGGTTTTATATTTAAATGAAATTACATTTATTTCAAAAGGCTATAATATAAGTATATCGCCTTAAACACATATTAAATAACTGGAATTATTTATGATAAATGATAGTACTTTTTAAAGTTCAAATTGTATATTTTTTATATGATCATACTGTCTTAACGTTGACACTAAGTCACAAAGTAAACTATAACACGATAATTATAGATTATTAATTATATAATTTTAGTTGTATTATAATAAAAATAATTTATGTTTGCCATCGTCAAGTGTTCTGATTGCCCTTAAACATAGCGAAGGCAAACCGGCAAGTTAAAGTGAATATATACTCTTGTTCGTAGATACTAATGTGTGAGTTTATACTTCAAAAACTTGTTAGTACGTATCAATTCGCAACATAGTATAAGAAACAACATCCTCTGTGCAAATCTATTTATTACAGAGTCGGTGTAATTAAATTTTATTACCAGACACGACTTTCTCGTAGTTGAGTAGGTCATGTTCTCTATTGTTACTATTAAAAGTTAAAATCTACTTTAATACGAGTACAATAACTTAATTATACATTTTAGAATAAAATTTTCCCTTTTGATAATATTGTTTATTATAATTTTGTATAAAGTTATCTAAGGTAAAGCTTATCTACGATATAGTAATGTTAGCTACAAGCACGTAATCGAATCATATTTTCCATTCTTGGATTTATTTAATAGTTATTTTATTTCTTCATCATGTTAGAGTAGGCGTTAAATTAAATTTTCATAGCCATAATATGGCCTACACTTTAATATAATTCATACAAAAATAAATATAATAAAGTAATATTTTATAATAATAAAATATTACGAATTAAGATGTTTAGTAATATCAATAAAAATATTTATATTTGCTCATATTATTTTGTTTGAAATAATATATTTTTATTCTGTATTTCGTAGAAATGTTTTCCTTATTTTGTCAATTTAGCTCCCGAATTCATGAGCACATATTCACAAGGCTTGTAATGACATCACGTCCGTAGGGATGCTGTGTTATCGTCTTCGTCCTTGACGTGATATATGAAAAATTTAAGCTTTGCCCTTGACTCCAAAGATACGTACGAATAATATACATGAATGCATATGAATTTACTATACAAGTTGTAAAAAATATGGATTTATTCATTCATATTAATATTGCAGAGAATACGTTACATTTATTGCATTTATTTATCTCAATCTTAAATGTAGTGCGCAGTTGAATAAAAAGTAAGTAGCAAGTACTTGTATGCTCTAAACGATATAATAAATAGCTCCGTGCAATCAGCAAATGGCTTAGAAAGTTATTTCACAGTAAAACGTGCTCCGTTTTGGTAATCTAGACGTTGCATTCGTATTTATATATCTGGCTTCAGACTTGTATACAAAAAATATATATACATATATTCTCTAATTTTTTTTGTCAAGATGTATACTAATAAGTTGAAGTACTTTTGTAACAATGGGCCTGTTAATCACGTGGCAGCAATTAATATAATAGGAAGTAATACATCGGAGGATGTGGCGCGTGAGTGTGCGGGCTTACGAGGCCTCATATCCGGGTGAAGTTGGAACTTTTTAAATATTATGTGACTTAAAACTTTTATGACAATATTACATAGTAAAAACACTGATAGGAGTGTTATGAATGTTCATAAAACTTGTTATTTTTCTGAATGAATATATAAAGAATATATAAATGAATGAATAAAGAGACTTTTTTTGGGCACTAATTCCTATTTTAAATGCCAAAAATGGAGATAAAATGATATATATTTGTTTAATAGTACGTTAGGTTTCTTGTTATTTTTTGTATTAAATTATTTCTATATAGATTTATTATATCATTTCCTTTGAATTTAAAAACATCGATAAAGTATTTTAAGGGGTTGTACGTATGTGTCCTAATGACTCAATTGAATAAGTATTTTAAAAAATTGCAACTTAAGAAGTGTATTTTCGAGCTACTTTCAAGAAGAGCAATAATTTCTAGCTGGTAAAGTTATTTTAAATATATATATATATATAAATAAATACATATATTTATTTTCATTTATTACAATGCGTGTTCCATTGTTTATCGTCAAGTTTAACATCTTTAAATGCTAATGTACCTTACTATTGTATATAATATATTATTTTGCTTAACGTCACATTATTGTACTAATATTTTATCTTGTATTTGTCTCGTTGTTAGTACAGTTGTGTTTTATGGTAATATATAATAAAGAAACAAAACAAAGTAATTTATATACGGTTTAAATACTTTCGCTTTGGTATTTTCTGAGTTTTACTTTAAAAGTGGAATGAAGTTTTTATAATACCAAATATGGACTATGCTCTAGATGAATTAATTTATATGTGTTAGTAAGAATAATAAAAAAAACATTTGAAAGCTCTCACTGGTTGAGTACGAATGATTGCTAAACCACTCTGTGACCTATATGATTGGTTCATGTCTTAAGTTAAGAGCGGAGAGCGTTTTAAAAATGTATTCGTAACCATATATGAGATTATTTAATGGTATTTGTTACTCAAAAGTATAAAATCTAATTAAAATTAGCGCCCAGATTATAAAATACATAAATATAAAATCCTTTACTTGGATTAAATATGTGATTCAGAATTTAAAATCAATTTTAGTTAAGATGGAATGAAATACATACAATGTATAATTTTGCATGTGATTTTTTAAATATGAATACATAAGTTCATTTAGGTTTTCGTCGTTTTTTAAAAGATTATTCAGAAATTGCTTACTACATAATATTCGAAATATTTTAAAATCATTTTCATTTATGTACAATATACTTCTAACTTGTTACGATACACGGCGCACTGATTACTTTTACGCATTTCAATCAAAATCTATTTGCCATATGGAAACCTTGTTTCATTGGTTTTTATACACTAGCTAATAGTATTGGTATTGCTGTTTTTATATAAAAATAGAAGTAGTTTATATTGAAATGAGAGATTACTATTCTTATTATATAAATGCTTCTGAAAATATTTATCTTTAAAATATTTAAAATAAAATGAATAAATGAAAAATATAATGATTATAACTGATTATACTCATATAAATAAGTAAAATATTGAATTGGACGTTTCCAATGAAAAATTGTATACATTATAATTTGTGGAACATACTCACTAATTTTTTCAATCGTCAATATAATATTTTCAAATATGTGAGTTAAATATATATATTTTTGTGTTGTGAAAGGGCTATATTATTTCCTTTTATTTATAAGCAACATAGTTTACGGGGTTTCATTTCGAATTTTTCCCCTCACATGGCATGAATTTGGTTTGAAGCAATTGTGTTCACGGTCGTCACAAAGGAACAATTTGGCAATACCCTTCGTTCTTTTGTGGCGAAAAATTAAGGAAATTGAGCGGTTAGCCCCTGTGATCGTTCTCACACCTCACAGCTATTGGGGAAAGAACAAAGAGTCTCATTTGTAGAGCAATATTTTTGTTTTATACTTGTTAAATGTGACTTATTTAAAGCATTATTTAGGAATAATAATTGGTAGTAACCGAGCCCTAGTTTTTCCTTTATATTATTTTGATATTTTAACATCAACATACAATAAAAATAAATCTGTTAGTACTTAAAAGTATCATTTAAATATTTAAAAGTTTGAGAGAGTTTAATAGAATTAAGGGTGAGATAAAACATGTAACTCATTAATACCGCATGTTTGTACTCGTTTTCCATCATTTATTAGTTTATTTTAAATATAATGAAACATAATGAATTTTAGGAACATTAAACTTGAATATAAAAAAATAGGTATTGGAAAATAATAAACACTTTAGATACAATAGATTTAATACAAAAAGTATGCATAATATAAGTCAATATTAAATAATATTTGTTTTACGCAGGCCAGGCACTGATGTGATGACTCAAGGTCACGAACCCTTGTCTATAATGGACGGCAATCTTCAGACAGATTTCTCCACGAAGACCAAACGAGGCATTTTCCTGTCCAGGAGCCTCACCCTTGTCATTCTCATCATATTCGCATTAGCACTCGTCGCTACAGCCTTCATAGTGTACAATTTTGCTGCATGCCCAAGAACTGATCATTTAGCTAATGTCACCAAACTAACTTACTGTGAACAATCTAAGTTACTAGTTATACCTCTAAGTACTGATAGTACTACAAGTGTTTCTGTTGAAAGTACAACCAGCTACGCAGAAACAACCACTAAAGAAGTAGATAACACTGTGACTGATGTTAGACTACCAACGAATATAAAACCAGATAGCTATTTGTTAAAACTAACTCCTTATATAATTGAAGGAAACTTTACATTTGATGGTGAAATCAGCATTGTTATAACTGTGAAAAATAACACAAACAGAATAACTTTTCATGGTGTAGAATTAAGTTTTAATAAAATAAATTTGTATAAAAAGGAAGATGGGAAAGAAATTAAAATAATAAGAAGAACTGAAGATGTCGCTAGACAATTCCAAATTCTTGATATAACAGAAACTTTGATAGCGGGACAACAGTATGTTCTTAACATTACTTATGTAGGAATCTTGAACGACAATCTTCATGGGTTTTACCGAAGTTCGTATGAAGAGAAGAAAGTCAAAAGGTACTGTAGATTATATTCTTTAATACAGAATTAAAAAATATCAACCATTGAATAAAATCCCAGTCTTAACACTAAATATATGCATACGATACGGAAATATTGCTATTATTGAATCCTTTAGTATTCTTACTGGGAGGTCACACTATTCGCTTACTATGCATTACTCGTATCCGTGTAAGCATTTGTGCTCCATCAATGAATCGCTGTTTGGCATCTAAATGTAGGATTAATTATAACTTTATGGACATATGGTTCCATTATGTAAATTAATCTGTTCAAAAAAAAGAGATTAAACATATTTAGCTCCTGATCGTATATCAATCTTTAAAAAATAGTGTGTGCATTTTGTTGCAATTTTTCTATTTATTAAGTCTTGAAATTTATTTTGATATAAATTTCAGATGGATAGCAGTGACTCAGTTTCAAGCTACCGATGCAAGACGTGCATTTCCATGCTGGGACGAGCCTGCTTTGAAAGCAAAATTTACTATCAGTATAGCGCGATCAAATAATATGACTTCAGTGTCTAATATGAATATGGTTGGAAGAAGCCCACAGTGAGTAGATATACTAAGATTAAAATAGCTGTCAAACATTTTAAATTTAATTTCATAGAAAACTCTTATAAATGTGTTTATTTTATTTAACAAGTAAGATAACTTACTACAAAAAGTCTCTTTCGATCAAGAAAGCTGTAATTCTGAACTAAAACAGTAAAATTGTTTAGAAAAACTATTTGGCGTATGTTTTTTGTTAACTGATTTTTAAAATAAGAAGATCAAAAGTTTAAGGCTTAACTATACATATAATTTCAGTTAAATATGTAGTTTATTTTCTACATTACATTTCTACATCTGATATTTCCAGTGAAGTTCTGAAGGATTATACTTGGGATCATTATGCGGAGTCGCTTCCAATGTCGACATACTTAGTCGCCTTCGCTGTGACAGATTTTGGAAACATGAGTGACCATAACTTCTCCGTATGGGCGAGGAAAGAAGCTCTACCCTCAGCGGCCTATGCTCTTGATATCGGACCTAAAATATTGAAGTTTCTAGAGGAATATTATAAAATTAAATTTCCTTTGCCAAAAATAGACATGATCGCTTTACCAGATTTTAAAGCAGGGGCGATGGAGAATTGGGGCCTGCTAACATTTAGGTATGATTGTTAAGCAATTTTAAATTTAGATTACTTACTATTTAGATTACTGGATGAGGTCTGAGATTTTCGCGAGTCATTTAAATGAAACTAATTATTTCTGGATATGCTACGCGACTTTATTTTTGATAAAAATACATACTCCCGATGTTTTGATTACCTTATAGCAACCGTGATCAGAAAACGCGTAGGATATCCGCAAAATATTAGTTTCATTTAATTAAAAAGTGATTTATTAATAGAGAGAAATAGTTCATGTGTAGTCTATATATAAAAATTTTAAATGATTCTAGTAATACATAGTTGTGTATGTTTATTATACCTACTGTAATTTTAATAATTATTTTATTTATTATTGTTAGATGCATGTTTTTATCTTTTTATGACAAATAATATATATATTAACTTTAGAAAGCCCAAATGCACGGCTTCTAATCTATATCTAATATGATAGAAAGTGCTGTTCTACTTATTTTGATGTTAATTACGTTGACATTTTTTAGAGAGATTGCTATGTTATATGAAGAAGGCGTGTCCCCTACAACGGCAAAGGCCCGAGTAGCTTCTGTCGTTGCTCATGAGATTGCTCATCAATGGTTTGGAAACCTGGTGACACCAGCTTGGTGGTCGGATATATGGCTTAATGAGGGCTTTGCTAGCTATGTGGAATATGTAGCTGTAGATGCTGTAAGTAACAAACATTGTTAAAGTCTCTTATATCATCTAACATACAATTCATTTTATGTGCTTAAAATTTATTTCACATAAAGTACTCCGTGAACACTGTGTAATTTTTAAGGTTGAAAAAACTTGGAAGCTTATGGAGGTATTTGTTTTGAATGAAGTTCAAAGCGTGTTCAAATTAGATGCACTTACATCGTCTCATCAAATATCGGTGGAAGTCGGAAATCCTGAAGAAATTGGAGCTATTTTTGATAAAATTTCTTATGGAAAAGGTATAAATTATTCAATAATATTAATTAATTACATACCATACGTATTTATATTTAATAACTAAATTGAAAAGAAATTTAATGCTTATGTTTTATTATTTTCTTAGGGTCAGCTATTCTTCGTATGATGAACCACTTTTTAACGGACGAAGTATTTAATTCTGGCATTACTGATTACTTAAATGCCAAAAAGTACGGGGATGCCGAGCAAAGAGATCTTTGGAGTGCACTTACTAATGCAGCAAGAGAGAAGGGTTCTTTTGATGCCGATGTAGCAGTCGTTATGGATTCCTGGACTTTGCAGACTGGGTTCCCAGTATTATCAATAACAAGGGATTATAAGACTGGTGCCATTACATTCAGACAGGTACTTCAGTTTTTGGGCAATTAAACAAGATTTGCACTGAGTTTTCTATTAAAATGTCCTTGAAACGTGTTATTATTTTTAAGGAACGTTTTGTATTGATAAACGAAACAAATGAGTTGCATAATTCTTCAGTTTGGTGGATACCCATATCATATACAACTGCTATTGAAAAGGATTTTGAGTCTACTCGGCCTAAAATATGGCTAAGAGGAGAGAGATCCATTGTTGTACATAATATAACCATAAGTGAAAATGACTGGCTTATTGGTAATATACAACAAACAGGTTAGTATTTTACTACTGTTAGGTCCGCTCTACAACCATCAATACATTTAAGTCAGTTATTGGGACACAATAAAACCTTTGTTTTAATGGGACAGCTTTGTTTGAACCAATATATACGCTTTTTAGTTTTCGTAATTCTATTCTACCCTATTTAGATAAAAATAGTAGACATGTTTAAAAATATACATGCATATATCCTTCCTTCTGATAATAATAACAATCGTAATAATAATCGTATAATAAAAGTGATTATCTTTACGCAGGATTCTACCGCATTAATTACGATCAACGAAATTGGGAGATGTTGATTAAGATTCTTAACGATAAATCTCGTTTTGAAGAAATTCACCCGATTAATCGAGCACAAATTGTCGATGATGCTATGAACTTGGCATTATCTGGCCGCTTGGACTACACGACTGCTTTGGATATTACAAATTATTTAGCACATGAAAGAAGTTACGTGCCTTGGAAGGCTGGACTCGTGGCGTTAGGTTACATTGATACCATGTTATCGAAAGGCGCGTACTATCTAGAATACAAGGTAAGTGTCAATCATTAATCATATTTACCTTAAGAGATGGCGTTACTAGTTACAATTTTCAAATATGTTTTTGTGTACTGATGCTATATAAATAGTGTTATTTAGCTTAAACCCTTTTATTTTTTTCGATAAAAAAATAATTGAAATTTCACCTTCTTCCTGACAACCGATTGATATAAAATTTCGCCTTCAATCCTGGTGATGATACAATTATGTATACTGTATTTGATTATAAATTAAATAGGGCTACAGCAACAAAATGACGGATAGCTTATTTTGTTTTAATCCCATGAATATATATTTACTAGCTTTCCGCCCGCAGCTTCGCCGCGTGGAGTTCGGTTATATCGCGTTTCCAAGAGAACCTTTCAAAAGTCTGGGATAAAAACTATCCTATGTTCTTTCTCAAGGTCAACTCTATCTCTGTACCGAATTTCATTAAAATCAGTTCAGTGGTTTAGGCGTGAAAGCGTAGCAGACAGACAGACAGACAGACAGACAGACAGACAGAGTTACTTTCGCATTTATAATATTAGTAGGGATATCAAATGAAAGGGCTTGACTAGTATATACAAAATACAAAATAAATAAAATTCAAATTTATGGTTGTAAATATAAAAAAAAACCTATTTGAAACGCTTAATCTCAAATAATTTTTGCATTAAGTTAAATATTAGTATTTAAAAATATATACATGAATGAAATTGATGTGAAGAAACAGCGTAAGTTTTACAACAATCTCACTAGATGGCAGGACTGGTCTTGAAAGTCTAATAACAAAGGAAAACATTTTTGTTTTTAATTTATTAAGACTAATATTGTGTATGATCTTTTTTAGTAGTAACCATTACTAAATATTCTGGGGTAATATGTATATATTTTGGGGTAACTGGGTCAACTATTAAATAGTTAATTGCAAAACATAATATTACTTTTTAAAATAATGTTATTATTTGTAATCGTAAATTCAACAGCAAGCCTTAATAATTGGTCTCGTTTTTTAAGTTGCAGTTTTAAAAAAGTACAAAAAATAAAACAAACCGTATAAAGTACATAAAATCATTTAGACGGATTAATTTTTATTATTGTAATGTTATTTCCATTTCACCGAAACCCGACGATATCTTTATTGTCACAAAGATATTGTTTACTTATTCCAAAATAATACGTCATTTATCAATGTCTAATTAATTGTACGTGATAAATCATACTGACGATATTTATTTATAATTAATATGTATATTATATTCTTTTAAACTTTTTAAAGCTCTATAAAAGACTGTTTATAATTGAAATTATAAATAGTTGCTAGCAGGTTCGCTGTTTTCTAAAAGTAATAAAATTCCTTACAAATTATAAGCAAATTTATATACACATAAGATTTTAAGATTATAATTCTAAAAGGAGAGTATATAAAACAAAAAAGTGGTCACTTGTTCTTTTAGACGGAGTAAACTGTATAATAATTACCTATGTACAGGTTAGTAGATATAAATGTGTACAATATTTTAGTTTTTTCATATAATTCCAAACTGAATTTCAAACTATATATAAATTATTTGAAAAATATTTAATTAGATTTTTTTATGTATTTTAATAAATGGTGTACACAAAAACAATCTGAGTGAATTATTCCGGTTCCTAAAATCATTCATTTTTAACTTATTACCGGTTGTAATTGAGTTATTTGAATGTATGAAACACACTTATATTCTTTGTGCTCAAAGTGCTAAAAGTATATGCATACTTTTTTCAGCGGTACGTTCTAAGTCTCTTGAATGGAGCTGTCCAGGAGCTGGGTTGGGAAGTGACGAGTAATGAGAGCGTGGTTCGAGCTCAGCACCGAGTCGACATTATATCTACAGCTTGTCATCTACAGCATGTTGAATGTTTAGAACATGCTGTGAGATTGTATACCAATTGGATGTTGACACCTAATCCTGACGCTTATAACGAGTAAGTCTATAAATAGGAAATATTATAACATATATAATATATATATTGCTAAGTATTTATAATAGTTTTCAAATATCTTGGTACCAATTCTATGGTACATTTTATAAAACAGTAGATATTGATTAGATAAATACATATAAGTGGAACAAATTAATGTACATATTTAATTGAAACATTAGGTATACCGGTCTTAAGTGACGTCATACGGATTTTAATCGTTGATTTTTTTATCTAAATTGTGCGATTTAAAATAATATAATATAGAGCACGTGTAATTGATATATAGAAGTATTATTATATGATATTTATCGGATAACAATTACACCAAATTGCTTTTATGAATCGCCAACGGGTTTCATAGATTGATTTCACAAACTCATCCAAGATCATAACCTCCAAGTAAATGATGATGAACAAACAAATGACAGAACAATGAAATAATCAAACAAATGACAGAATAATCAAACAATACACAAAACAATCGGATAATTACTTTAAATATATAAACAAGAATAAACTCATCATGAGATACTATCAAAAATTTCAGGATACATGCTGATATTCGTAGCACTGTTTATTGCGTGGGCATTCAAGCCGGAGGTGCTAGGGAATGGCAGTTCGCCTGGGAAAGGTTCCTTGTAGCGAGCGCGCCTTCAGAAAGAGAACTTTTGCTTTCTGTACTGGGCTGTACAAGGGCGCCATACTTATTGTACAGGTAAAAACAATCATATGTTACTCAAGTCGCTTTTATCTGTAGTTGATATAATTAACTACAGTCAATTGTTTTTCGATAATTTAAATATATATGCTATATATTTGTATATAATTAAAATTGCTTAAAAATAAATAATGACCTTCATTTTAATTAGCAATTGAAATAATTAATTTTGTACAATTGTTTTAATGACGCTCTTGTAATTAAGGATTTAGATGTCGCATTTGATATCGTATCATAATATATTTGAAAACGAGTAGAACCGGTTTTTAGAATTATTTAATAATTAATTTGATTAGTATAACAATTATGTTCATTTGTTGATAACTGTGCTATTTGATGGATGTAAATGTTTTAGGTATTTGGATCTATCTTTAAGGAACGACAGTGGAATACGTAAACAGGATACGATCAGAGTTTTTTCAGCTGTCGCCAGTTCATCTATTGGGGAACCGATTGCTTTTAACTTCGTCAGGGCCAACTGGCTCCGGCTTAAGGAATAGTAAGTCAATTGCTATAATGTAGTTCATAAAACAGGAACTCGTTTGCTCATGATATTAAAAGTAAGTCATTTATTGACAGTGTCTGAGACGAAACAAATTATGTTTGATTATATCCAGCGTTTTATAGTATATAAAAATATATTGTATATTCTTCTGTTTTTAACTCATGGATGTATAAAAAAATATTATCATTAAAATCTTGTTTCACAGTGTCGGCTCCGTGTCCACATTGAATTCTATCTTGAAAGTTGTAACGAGAAGATTAAACGAAGTTCATGAATATGAGGAGGTAAATATGAGATTATCTTGATGTATATAAGAATGCCATACTATTGTATATTTTATATTTTGGCTAAAAAAAGAGAAAAAATAATAAATTAATAAATATTTTCTCTTACGTTTTTGATGGAATTAAAATCAATATAAGGAAGTGAAAAAATTTTAATGTATAAGATTTTCGGTTCTTATTGAGTTATACAGTAATAATTATAAGCAATTTTGTTTATCCCTTGAAATATTTTTGTATGATCGTATTCTTTCTGTCTGTGGTATCGTGTTACATAGTGTCACAATATTATTTGTATTATACAGTTAAAGAGATTTGTCGGAGAGTCCTGCAGTGATCTGGGAAGACCGGTCCAGCAGGTGTTGGAAAGAACAGCTGCAAATGTCCAATGGATGCAAAGGAATTACCGAAATATCGTGGATTGGCTCCTGGAAGCAGAAAAAACTAAAACAGCATAAAAGATCTGCGACATTTTTATTTATTGTAGACTAATGTTTAATATTATAAATATTTAAAATAAAATTTAATTAGCATTTTAAAATCATGGAATAACATATTTTCTTTTTGATAATAGTTATTTAATAATATCATAAGAAATAGCAAGAACAAAATATAAATGTCTTAGTAAAAATAATTTTTTACATGTAAACTATTTAAATACTATAGTTATTATAGTGTAGTTTAATTTCATAAATTGATAAAAGTAATATATATTTTATGTTTCATAGACCAATTGGTATCGATTTTTATTCTTGGATGTAATTTTCTAACTTTATAATTGAAAATACCAATTGAAGAGTGATTTTAAATTGTTACTATTTTCAACAAGTATAAAATATTATGAAATATAATATGTAACAAGTTATGCATGAATACATCCAAATACCTCAAATTGAATATTCAAATTGAAGTGTTTTTTGACTAAATTGTACAAGGTTATTACATATATGCATATTTTTTTTACAATTATACAACTTTAGAATTATTTGAGTTATAGATGAATGATAGGTAATCTTGATTCATTTGTGTTTGCTTTATTGACTACAATAATAAAACCATGCATATCATACGAATAACAATTTCAGAAATAAAACGAAGTAGTTTTATATAATGTACTTTTCTTTGTAATCACTTAGGTATCAATTCTACTTAACAGTTTTTTTTCAACCTTACATAAATTTAAACATCATAAGTCTCAGCCATATCACTTATTTATTATGTAACGACAACGTGTTTATTAACTTAATGTATAAAAATTAAATGTTAGTAAGATTAAATTGAAAACTTTTTATTAAGTAGTTTAATTTTAAAAATACTCTTGATCCTGTAAATAAAAGTGATCTATGTATTTTAATATTATAGGTTTTTAAAATAAACAATAAATATTTCATAGGAATTCTCATTAAATTTCCTTTTTATAAAAACGTGGTTTTGCCTGCGACTCTCTATGTATGTCCGGGCGACCAATGTCCTTCCTCAGAAACAAAAATATATGGATTTTCAATTTAAGTAAAGTAAATTTCTTTTCCTTCTCTATCGAATGGCATGAATAATAACCTATGTTCGTCTCCTAAGCTACCTCCCCACATACTTTCAGCTAAATCCGTTCAGCCGTCCTTGAGTAATAAGAAGTGTAACTAGCACTACTTTTTATAGATATGTATATAATTTTAATAAACATAGCCTCTGTAGGCTATAGTTTTTTGAACTTGATTTATTATTTTGGCTTTACAAGACAAAAATCTAATGAATCGAAAGCATGTTTTAAAAATATATTACAATGGTCGTATAATATATTGTAAGTAGGTAAGTAGTATTCTTTAATCTATGTAACATACTAATGTAATCTTAACAGTGGAATGATTAATGTCCCGATTTTATCGATTTTCATATCGCATATCTATAATGATACAATAAACAATGACAATATGATATCATTGAAAAAAAATATCATGTAAGGAAATCCAGTCGCCAAAATATCGTACTATTTAACTGTCGCCTGTGATATTAGCAGGGTAAGTTTTTTTAGTAACATGATTATTTTGATCTCGGGAATTTACGACTAAAGTAATTATTTTAAAAAGAATATTATTAATGTTTCTATTGTCACTTCGATGTATGTACTGACTCAGAAGAAATTCTCTGTATGTTAGCTTTACATTTATAAGTGAGAAAATAAAAAAATGGTTTTAAACATCATTGATGTATTCAAAAAATATAAAGAGATAGTCTTTTCCAACAGAAAGTCTTTAAATAAATGTAGATTAGTTGTCCTCAATATTCGAATTTCCTAACATAGACATTAAGTTTCTAGTATAGTCCTATTTTTCGTTTCGTTGGTTAATATTTGTAAGGAAAATGGATGCTACAATAGCATGAAATTAAAATGCTCAGTGATAATCAAATGATCTGAAAATAATAGGTGAATTTTTTGTAACAATCATAAGACAGATATGTATTCCTAAAATTACACATGTAGTTAATATTGAGCTTATATAAACACATGTAGCTATCAACATAAGGAAACAACTGAGGCTGGTTTAGAATCCTATTAAGAAAGCCAGTGTAATAAATTTGTTCTAGTGATGATATTACATTTAATTGGGTACGAATAAGCAGATAAAATCAATATAAAACCTATACCTATTATAGAAAATAAAATAAGTTGGGTTTGCCATTTTTACACACGTTTCAAAAAACATCCCATGTACGCACCTAAAAACTGTAATATTATCCAGTATGAGCATCTTTTCGAATATTGTTTTTTTTAGCTCAATGTCATATTTTTAATAATATCTATGTACTACATATACTGCCCAAGCAAGTTTTCCAGAAAATGAAACAGACATTTGTCTCTTAGTCATAGCATGACGTAAAATAAAGGTCTATAAAAATTTTCTCCTGTGACAACTCTATACATTTTCATCAAAATGTTTTTAGTGGTTTTGCTTTGTGTTGATTTTCTATACAAGTAATATTCTTTGTTAAAATAAGAGTGCGTAGATCCTTCTCACCACCACCCATTTAGTTTAATCCAGCGATCAGTTTTAGCACATTATTCAAATCTTCCCTTCATCGATCACCAGTATAGGGCTTCTGGACATAATAATACTGATAGATTGAAAAACCAGCACACTAAAATGTGAATATAAATTGATCTACAGGGTAGAAATGTTACAAGAGTATTGTATTCCCATATTCCCCACTAAAAAGTAGCTGATTTGATGATTAAATCATTCCTCTGTAAAGTTATTCTCTTACAATCATGACGGCTTTGGTATAAACAGAGTCATTCCTTGAATAATCTGGCTTATTAGTCATTCAATATACGTTGTACTTCTATATAAAATATGTTTCCAATAAAGGTATTAATAGCTAACAGTCCAAGGCTAACTTTACGACCATATCGATAAGCCACGAGAGGTAAAATAATAGTCTAGGGGAGTGAAGAGAAAGAGGATACTTATGCTGAAAAAAAAAATATTTACAATAGTAATATAACTTTTTATTTTCGGTAACATTATGAAAATTAAATTATGTAAGAGAGAGGTAATGAGATTCGAAGGTGTTCAGATAAGGAGTTAGAATCAAAAGAGGTTATAAAGGAAGGATACGTATATATATATATACGTATCCTTCCTCCTATATATATATATATATATATATATATATATATATATATATATATATATATATATATTTAAATCTATCAACTATCTCTGAACCACGAAAGTACATTAAAACGATTACGAGCTGTTCATCACCGCTTTATGAAAGTTACGTCTTATATCGGAATATTCGTTTGATATCCAAGCATTCTTATTCTTATTACTATTTCAAAACAATAAACAAGGAAAACAAAATAATTTATTTGCGTGTACACAACTTGTTATCTAATTATAATAATACTTTTTATTAAAACGAGTAACATTGCCTTTTTTAATTAAATCTGAACTGGTAACACACCTTTTCTTTGTACTTATTTTAATATCAAACGACAATATTTTAAATGTACACACATTTGTTAATAAATTGACGTCAATACAAAAAAAGTCACTTTTCATTTGAAAAATAACTCAGTTTCTATAACGTTTTACAAGAGTAGGGTTAAGGAAGCAGTGCCGCTTTAATCCTTACATATGCATCGTTTTTGTACACACATGCAAATGTTTTCTGCACACACAACCCGAGATTTCCAGATTGTCCTTCAGATTATTTGTATAAAAGATAAGCAGTGTGTAGTTGTACTTCAGCCGCTTTGGCTGGTAAGCTGCCCTAGTCGCTAGCAGCGGTCTATAAAAAATATTATTTACATTAATATGTGGTACTTTTAAAAATTGTAACAAATCATGAATCAAATGACATCAATATATATACATATTATAAAATGAAGTTGGGTCCGACTGTCTATCTGTTCACAATAAACCAAAAAATTACTGCACCGATAATCAAGCGGTTTCACCACTCGATAGCGTAATGCTCTAGAAAAGTTTTAGTAAATAAAATGTAAAGTTGTGTATTTATTTGTGTATACATTAACGGTATTTGTTGAAGATATTAGAAAATAATGAGCCGTCTAGGAGCTTTTAATGAAACCGCTGCCTAAAGTCCTTGAGATATAGTTTAATAATGGATGGTGAAATTGTGTGTCTTATAAAAATCCATAGAAAAATCTGCCATAGCATATGTCTATATCTTAAAGATAACATGCTTATATGTATTTCATTACTTTTAAAAATTGGCGTTCATGAAGCTTTTATTGGTAATCTATTTACATAAACATAATATTAAGTCTTGTCAAATTAATATCCTTTGTGTTCAATGTGTAAATTATTTAATTCGTACATACCATTTGAAAGTTATCATAAGATAAGTTTACAAATTAGAATTAAATCCACGCGATAGCTCACTCAGTTTTTCACATGATTACATCATTAATTTTGTATACAAAAATATATTATAATTTTATTATATTAAAAAAATATTATTAACATAAAAATACAGTTTTTCTTAGTTTAAACTCAAAATATATTTAAGTAAAAATGGTGATGAAATTTTTGTTTTCATTGATTTAACTCAAAAATAAAGTACTCAACGCATCTTACGCAACAGGCTATTTTATATATTTTGTAAAGTAGCCGTGAGAAACCGGGGCGGGTACCTAGTATTAAATATCTGTTAACGTTCGTATTGCGTAATGTATGATAAAGAAATTATGTAAGTAAGAATTAAACAATGAAGGTTTAGTTGTTGTTTCGGGTAGGGTGAGCGGTGCTTATTTAAGTCCATGGCGTGCATGCCATTGGTATAAACAAAATTTTTTGTATTTTCAAAATGTCTCGCCATTTTTCAAATAAATTCAAAATAATACACCTATTAAATACGTTATTACGGTTCACTTTGATTTATTTTTAATTGATCTTTAGCCTAGATTTCTAATTAATTTTAATGACCCAAA